GTCAAAGCAGGATGAGTGACGCAGATCGCAGGACTTGTATATCATACTAACCCCTCCGATTCACAAACCCGGGAACATAGGTTAAGTAGGAGGTATACGATCCATCCGTAGTAGGGGGTTTAGTATAGGAATACCTCAGTCGTTTCTACAGCCTCTTGGGCAGCGGCTGAGGTAGGTTACATTATATTTATTAGAGATCACTTTAAACTGATATCTATTGTAGTCTCTCTTAGGTAAATAATATCAGTCATTTTGAAGAACCAGACTCCTTTACCAGACTCCTACCTTCAATGCAGCCTAAGGAACCTAGATGTTCTCTTGGTCCTTATCTAAACCAGAGTTTGTTCCACCTGGGTGAATGGTACTGGAAATCACGGGTACAAAATCTCAAGAATCATTCAAGCAGCTTGTTGATATTGTAGGGAGTTCAGATTTTATCCCTGAAGACGTCTGAAATGCGAGGTGGAACAAGATTGATCACGATTGCTCGTCACCAGGCAGACAAGTGATAGACTCTCGATTGCTTGATCTTGCTGAGTTGACTGAGTTTGATTTGGCAGGAGGCTCCACGACGTGTGTCGCGGCGTGGGATTTTGTGAAGGTAACCGAAAATACCGAAAATTATATGTAGGAGTAAACGTTCAGCTCCATAGTCAACAGCGATGTCTCCTGTGCCTTCATGTCCTCCAGAAGACAGTACGCGACGAGCCCGTGCACCTTCGCTGACGAACACGAATGGCGCATATTCTGCACAGTTGCCTTCAACAAGACCCTTGCACCTCACCCGCACCCTCTCGCGTCCCACCACACCTAGCAATGGCTCATTTGCCTCTCCTCCTCCTCGAGGATTAGCTCTTACATCTCCAAAAGGGCCCTCACGCCCTCAAAGATCTGAGCTGAGGGCTCGCCAAGTATCTGATTACTCTACGTCCGAAAGAACTTCTACGTCCTCTGGGGCAACACAAGGATATAGAGACCCAGGTCGAGACCGCAAAGATAGCTCGAGTACTACTCGTTCCGACATTTCCATGCCTATTCGAATCCGTAATGGCAACCTAACCATCACGAATCACACAACAAGGTCAGAGCTTCTGGGATCTGTGACCACCGAGGACTCTGAAGTGTGTTCCAGCCCAACTTCTCTCGCCGCTGTCATGTCTGCATTTCAATCTGCTGGTGCTCGCAAACGAGCAATGACTAACGGAAAAGAGGATGTTGAATATGAACGTGAGAAGCAGAAAGAGATGGAGATGGAGAAGCTGAGACAGGAGCGGATCAAGGAACGTATGCCAGGAAGAAAAGCAACAGGCAAGGCTAAGGCGGGTGACATCGATGGTGCGCTTTTCCTGCCTGTTAACAAGATCAAATCTTGAATCTTTGCAATAAGTTGTATTGGACGAGATAACAGACGAATGGGAGTTTGTCATCGATCCAGACGTAAGAAATACTTCGCTCTCGATTCTCTTAGTGTTCTGCTACTCACGACATTGATATCTTTTGGCATAGTTTAATAATGTAGATTTGGCACTTTCACTGCTTGGTGATTCGCCAGTTGGCAAAGACATGGATTCATTCCGGCAAACGAAAGCCACCCTATCTAAAGCGTTGAAGGGATCGGTTGATAGTACGTATTTTCCACCTCACAAGCCTTATCTTACGAGTGACGGTACCCTTCGTCATGCCTTACTTAGAACACTATCAAGCTTTCGCCGCCGCCCTCCCCCATCACGCTTCTCTGATAAATTACCTTGGTTTGACTCAGACACAAATTTCCGATACTCGTTTTGCTCTTCAAGAAGCTAGAGATGCTCTAGGCAGTAAGCGAGCTGACTTAGTCCAATTGTGGTCAAGGAGTCAAACTTTGGAAGAAATGATGCGAATTCTTGATCAAATGTCAGTTCTCGTATTACCTACACATTGCGTCTTCGTCCGACTAATGGTGACTATCATCTCTCAGTGAAAATCTAAAGTCAGTACCGGACCTGCTGGAGACTCTAATGTCAGAAAAACGGTTACTACAAGCATCGATTCTTTTAGTGCGAAGTTTGAAAATGATAAATACACAAGATATGCAAGAAATTGGGGCAGTCGTTGATTTACGAAGTTATCTTAGTGGCCAGGAAATGGTATATTTTGAACTTGTGCTTTTTGTCTAACTGTCCTCAAAGGAAAATGTCCAGGCTTTACGAGAGATACTGATTGATGAACTCCATAATCACTTATACCTCAAATCATTCTGGTGTGAATCGCGCTGGGTGGCATATACTCTAAATCAGCAGAACTGTAAGTATTCTCCCTACGTCGACATTGATGTTTCTGAAGTATACCACAGTTCCTCGAGTCGAATTCGAGGATGAACCACCGCCATATGTTCCGGAACCAGAATCTACGCAGGAACCGTTAGCAGACATCAACAAGTCGTCTCGATTATCTCGATTTCTCAGTGGCCTTGCTATGCGACCAAACGATCCCCCTCACGATATTACCGAAGCAAGCTTTCAAAGCAGTGATTCACCCCAAATATCATCGTCGTCATCTTTGCCCTCCAATTTATCTTTCTCCAATATTTCCTCGCTATTTCCTTTTTCGTCGCAAGCGTCACAGTCTAATGCCAACCCCGAGTCGGATTCCTTTACGTATATTGAAACTCTATTAGAGTCATTTGCTGTACTGGGGAAGCTTGGCAGTGCTCTTGACATGGTTGCTCAAAGGCTGCCAAGTGAAATCTTCGCACTAGTGGAAGCCACTCTAGATCAGGTCGAAGAGCGAGCAGAAGAAGCGAAGAGAGTATCTATGTTTGGTTTCGGGGATGCCAGTCTCAGGAGGTCAGAGGGAGGCTATGTCTTCGTGGTGGGAGACCCTACGGCAGGAATGGGCTTCAGTGTAATAGGATCCTCTATGGCATCCAAGGGTAATTCTCTTCGCGCCTCCTCGCTGAGGTTAGCGGCCTTGGAATCTTCGACTAGATATGCCGATCAAGAAACCCTTAAAGACCTCTTTTGGACTCTCTATTCTAAGCTGGATGCTGTTACGCAGGGTTTGAGAGCGATTTATGAGGTCACAAAACGAATAGGCTCGGTATGCTCTCTTTAGCCATAGATCTTAATGTGAAATCTGATTCGGCTTTTGCATACATCTAGAGACGGGACTTCAAAGACTCATCTGGTGCCAAACCAGGTGCTTTGTTTCCGCTTGCTGAAATGTGGCTTCCCGTCCAAGCAGAGGTCAGCAAGCGTCCTTCGCGTAGTTTATCAGACAATGAAATTTCTTCACATAGGTTAGAACCCTTCTACATGACTACTTAACGAACGACGGGCAAAGTTCAGTAGCGGGACGGAATCCAATATCTTCCATTAACGAGGTTCTGCGTGATGGCAGATTTAACAGGGATAAGAGCAAGGTTTGTCATATTTAGACTTAGCAATTGGTCGTTGCTCACAACCTGTTTAGACTGTGTTCCGTTTTGCCGATACAGATACAAAACTCACAAATAAGATCCTAAAAAAGCATGAAGATGAACTTGCGCGTGCTCTCAAGGACACGATGCCAGGACTTGTGCAAAACTCTACAGAAAGCACGGTCCAGGCTATGTTATCTACTGTCGGAACAGATGATCGCTTGACAGGTCTCAGCCAACACCATCGTTTGCTAATCCGACCGGATGCATTTCATGTCAGTGTTCTTTTCCAGCCCACACTAACTTTCTTGAGCCGTATATCCGAGATATTGCCTTCCGGGGTCGAAAGTACTCGTCCAGCCAGCGAAGTTTTGGACAATTTTGTCTTGAAAGTGTATTTGCCTCAGCTTGAGGAGAAGGTCTCTACACTTTTCCATCAAGCAGTGACTGGTATGCATACTTATATCAATTCGACCATGCTTTTTAATTCCATATCAGGTCCCGAGGCATTTCAACCTGATCCTTTATCGATGCGTATCAGTCTTCAACCTCTATTGAAGGTACGACACTGGCCTATATTACAAATATCGTCGATTGTGATTATTGTTCGTTATAGGCAAGTACACAGCTCATAGCGCTGATAAATTCTTTGTGCGCCATGCTTCGAAGCACCCCCTTCCATCGTGAAAACTATTCAAGGCTCATCCTTAGCGTCATCATACAATTCTATCAGCGTTGTAGTGACCGCTTCTACGATCTAGTATCTACATGTTGGGGTTCTACCCAATCTTCTGCTTTAGCTGCGCAATGGGCTCAAAAATCAGAAATAAGCTTGTGCTTGGCAGAGCTATTTTCTACATCAGTAAGAAATGATGTCTTGAATACGGCAGACCTCGCTTTTGATTTGCTTATCAAGCAGGAAGCGAATACCAGTAGGCTAGAACACCTTTGTCGTCAAGAAACTCACTTAGAGTCGAGCTTCCTGGTACAAGGCTCAGTCAATAAAGGCGATATCGTACCTTCGACTCGGAATCTCGCAGCGCTGTGTGCTTTATACCGCAGTCTAGTAAGTCATCATCTTCCCGTGTAGGCCATTTGTTTATGTCGGTCAGGCGTGGTTTACCACAGAGTTGAACTCTTTGAAAGCTGGTCCAGGAGGCGTACTCTCTCCCACCAATCCAAAATCACGGCTGGAGCCACTGAGCCCTGCTACAACGAGCTTACATGCTTTGCTTTCAAATATATCTGACGAGCAGTTGGGCCTCCCTTTGACGCGTGAAATGGCTTTGTTAGTATTTTCGTGATTACGCTACTATCGTGACTTATTGGCCAACGTTTCAGACGTTTCGGAGCGTTAATTCAAACTTACAATCAGCTAGCTGAAATCATCCTACACACTATTAGGATTGACATTCGTTGTCGTGTTATACATTATCTAGATGCTGCTCTGCGACATGTGGGTATATCAATTCTTTTTACATATGCGGGCCTTCATCTTTGTATCATTTTTAGGGGAACTATTCTGTAGATCATGAAGCAGGAGAGCCTGACCCTTACATCATCGACCTGAATGCCGAACTTGGAGCATGTGATGACCTCGTCTCGGCCACTTTGCTCAAAGAAGAATGCTGGTGCGTAATTCTATACAAGTACAATGTCAATCAGCAGGCTTATGGCATTTAGCTTCATATTTGTAGGACTGGGACCTCTTATGGAGCATCTTTTAATTTCAAATGCCCGATATATACGCTTTGCTAACAAGTTTGGCATAAAGAAAATCATACGAAATATCTTAGCTCTACAGCAAAGTCTCAAAACTGTCGCTAACGGGCAACAGCACACAGAGTTTGAACGAGCGAAAGCTTATTATTCGCTTTTCTTCTTACCCCCTCAGGTAACGCATCAATGTTATTATTTCATGTCACATGCTTATGATGAACAAACCAGGATATGCTGAATGGCATCCGACAGAAGAAGAAGTTCAACTTTGACGAGTATAAGGCCATACTGAATTTGCAGTGTGGTGTCGATCAAGGAGAAGACGAAGCCACGGCGTCCCGAGCTGCAGATCGCAACTACAATATGTATACTATAGAGTTGCGCGGTTTGGAGATGGAGAGTTCCATAGATATAGAGGAGGCATGAGTACAATCCAAACATAGGTTATATTTATTCCACTGTAGTTATTGTCAAATACATCAGTTAACTATAGTAGTGTTTTGTCTAATTGTAGTACTCGCTTTCCATGTCCTGACGTACTCTTTTCTTGCGCCCCACGTATCCAATCCATATTTTCCTCGCTTGCGTGAGGGAGAGAGGCTAAATGAGAACTTGAAGGGAAAATTGCATATGAGGGCAAGGAAATTTCATATCTGGCACTCTTTCCATTTTCCCCTGATATATGAATTTGCTTCAGGATAGGCAATTTGGCGAGGAGCTCCTGATACCGTCTCCGGAGCCATCTGGGCCTATTTGTTTTATCCTTAGTTATGCCCTCGTGTGTTATGTCGTGTCTTCGAAAGGCACGTATCTCCTTGGTTATGGGATTTTTCCAAGGCTGCCCTGCTAGCTTTGAAAGCTCCCAGAAAACGTCAGTTTTTTCAAAACCGGTATTCAATGAAGCTTCCGCAGGTCCATCTTGTATGCCCTTTTCATAATCAGGGAAGTCATTGATGTGAATTTGTAATGGAGGCAGGACTTTCTTCCATTCGCGAACAAAGTACCGCCACCGAATGTTCACTTCTCTGCGTTTACTAAAAGGGCCCAGAAAAACAACATGTTTAGATGACAGCTTGGCTCGATCCTGTAGAGTTGGGGGAGACTTCAGGTCGTTAGCACTCAAAGGCTTCGTCCGACGAGACAGAGTCGAAGTGAGAAGGGTAGCCAAGTGCTGGGAGTATGCCGGCGGACGCGACCTTTCATTCCCTGTTATAATGGGCTGTGGACGTGGCGATGTCGGACCTCGTAACAGTAACTTAAGGAAAAAACAGGTTGAGGATTCAAGTCATTGTACAAAAATGGTAAGCTACCTTCAATAAATCCCACCAGAGAGGACCCTTTCTTCCATATGCGATATCCAGAACATTTCTAAAGGCTGTGAAATCTCCCTGGTTTGCAGCACGCAGACTTCGCAGGTCCTAAAATCAGTAAGTAACATTCCTGACTCCAATAAAGGAAGACTACCTTGGATACTCTCTTTATCTTTTTGGAACTGAGAGTCTCGTTGCTAGTTCGTAAAACTGCACGAAAATCATCTGACACTTTCAAGCGAAAAAACTGTCTGTGGAATGGTGGTTAGACTGGACAAACATTAGCGTAGGAAGCTCACTGGAGATAAGTGTGAGGTAACTGTCTGATTTCGCGGAGATAGGACCTGTACAGTGAGAAAACAGGTCTCAGCTGGTTCCCTGCTTTGCCCTATTGGTGTCTCAGTGCAATAAACCAGTTTGACCAAGTAGTCCGAGAACTTACGGCCGTTTCGCGAGTACTACTCAGCATGATGACTTCTAACTTACATCAGGAAAAGAACATGAACGGGATAACCTTTTATATTTTGTAAACTTACTGATCTTATGACCAAGCCCTATAATGCGATACAATCAGTCTTCTACCCACTTTGTTCACAGAAGAGGGATTTATCCTAGTGGTTTTGATGTGTGATGATATGGAAATAAAAAAATAAAAAAATACATCATATGATGAGAAAAGTTGAACGCACCCTGGCAACTCGGCAACTCCGCCATTCCAAATTGGTCATTCGAAGGAGAGTGTCCGCCGCAGGCGGGCCGGGAAAATGCCAGGAGAATCCTAGGGGTATTCTTAGAGTGTACCCAGGAATATCCCAAGCTGTGTTTACTTAACGCCAATCAGCACTCCTTCCCTTGCTTCTATTTAATTAATGCCCATCAGCGCTTCTTCCTGTGTCATTTTTGATGCTTACTGTTACCTGTAACTGTACCTCAGACACTCGAGATCACCGATTTAGGCTACACCAAGGTAGATTGACGAGATCGCTATATGCTAGATCAATGGAGGTTACTCATGGTAAGTACGGAACTTGCTCATATATTAACATTAAAGCCATGCCAAAATCCAGAGGATAGTAGTTTATTAGATGAAGATTACTACCCCTACAATGCTCTTCTGGCAGAGTGGGTAGAGCCCAATCTATACTTTGTAGGAGTAGGGAATGATAGACGTATCCTTTGTTGGAAGTATCCCAACAAGCTGTTTTTCTTCAAAACCGCATTCAACTTTACATGCCACATCTCAAGGCACAATTGCTATTTGACGACGCATGGAGATATTGAAATATTTGGTAACAACCCTGCTATGTGTAACAGCCCAGTAGCATCATGTTGGTTAGAGCCATTTCAAGACGATGAAACAAGCTTCAAGCAATGGAAAGCACTGTTGAATGCTCTTCATCACATTGCCCTCAGAAACGAAGCAGACACATCACAGCTTCTATCCCATCCTGATCAGTCTAGCACTGAGTTTCCGCAAGTTTTGTGGGCCTTGAAAAATCCGAACAACATGGTATATTAATGCTATTGTCTTAGCAAATTTCAGCTGATCACACAGTTTCTAGGGATCTCCGAGTCATGCACATGAATTGCCAGTTTTCTCTTCAAGCGGTCTTCACTATCCACCGGATTCACTGCAGGAAGTTCCATTTTCAAGGCCGGTGAATGTTTCATTGTGCATTTGGAATGGACCTGGTGTTGGTGGAAAAAGATTCATTAGTGCGAGATTCCTGTCCATTTGTGCCAAATAAATTACTCTATCTAGCTTCTGTAAACATACTAATGTATTGCACCTTGTATCCAATACATGATAGCCTTACTGTGCTAACTGTGACTCAAAGTCAGTGTGAAACATCAGAGGTTGCTGCTACTTACTAGCATACAGTTATGGGTGACAAATCAAATTTGAAAGAAAATAAAAAGGGGTCAAACGTACTATTCAAACCACACCACCTTCAGCAATGTCTGAGTCTCCCAACATAAGCATGTTAGCTGTCACGATTTGAACAAAATCTTATCTAATCTTGAAACATCTTATCATTATTGTCATGTGATCTTACTATCACATGACCCATTATGCAAGCAATAGTTAACAATATCTGTCACGTGACCTTACTATCACCTGACCAAAGTCTAGACTATAACGTAGTACATCAGTCAGCGCCTCATGGCTGACCTTCAGAAAACGTATATATACTGCTACTCATGTACATACATTCTTCAGTTGTTGATTACTCCTTATACATCGATACTTGACGCTACTTGTTTGATTTGAGCCTCACACCTCCGTTAGTTCAGCATAAGGTGTAGGGATTCAATACAATCAACAACTCGCACAAGTACCGTCTATGAACGTAACAGCAACTATCCCAATAACCATAACACTCATCATTGTTATCATCATCATATTCACCACACTTCACATTTTCTATCGTCCCCAAACAAACCAACCTATTATTCCCCTCACCCATATCCCTACATGCCCCAACACCATTGTATCATTCTTCCCTGCCAACATCTCACCAACAACCTCCCAAGACTCCTTCCAAACCATCCCCCTTTAGTTACCATTATATCATCATAATTTCTTTGGTGTGGAACCACTGGAATTTTCTCGTTTTTACATAGTTTCAACCTTCTCTTTCCTCTGACCAGGCTGCGCATTTGCGTCCGCCAGTCAGGAGAAGATAAAAAGCCGGTCAAAACTAGACAACTGTCCGGACCTAGTTTTTCTACTATAGCCTTTTACATAAAATTTGTAAAAATACAAAAATAGCACAGTATGTACACAGTCAATGGTGAACAGAAGAGGATCACCTTGACTAAAGAGAAAAAGATAGACTACTTGAGATCTTGGAAGTGGTGTATCAATCCAGCTTATCACTGGGGAACTTCTTCTATGCTCAGTAGAGATTTCTACATTTGGATCGGTGAACAAAACATATCCACAAAAGATTACGTTTACAAGGGACAATTCCCACTCCCTATTATAACACCCATCAGAAGCCTCTTTCCTGTAATAAAACAAGAAACTCCCCCGCCACAAACACTACTATTTGAAAATGTCCAATTTAGAGTACTGAGATTGGCCCCAGCCGTCCAGCAGCACGGGCGATGACTTTACTCGGGAAATGATGGACTCATTGTTACGATAACACAATTTTTGGACCTTCCCTTTACTTTTATTCTCCGCTTTAACCTTGTACTATAGCTTTCACACATGGTGCCACACGGCACTTCCCCTTTTGGTTCTAACTCCTCTTTCTCGCGCTGCGTTGCCTTTCTTCTTATTTTGGACTCAACTCTCTCACACAGTGGAGCTAATCATGCGGGCTAGGCCCCATGACATCATCAGCCACCGTCTCTATCAAACTGTATAGTACACATGTACAAATAACCCTGTAGTAGTATATATACCCCAATAGATCAAGGAGACTCCTCAACGAGTCCTCCTGTTGTTAACCAACAAACTCTCTGCAGCCTAAGGGGTAACCACTCCCCCATCATCTTCCTTATAGTGTGTTTCTGTGTGCGCCAGAGTAACTAACTCTTGGTTGTTACACTCATTGCCGAGAATAGAAACTCCCCCGCCCAGAGAAGCCTCATTAGAGACATACGTAAAACAAGAAGTCGAGAAGTCAATCCGAGAAACCCGCCTTCTGTATCAGTCCCAACTAGACGAGGCACTAGAAGAAGTCAGTGTCTTAGAGAAAAGGCTGAAAAGAACAAAAGCAGCACCACCCCCAGAAAGGGTAGAAAGGACTAGGACGGCCCTCAAGAAGCCAGAAAACTTCTCGGGAGATAAGAAGAAGTATTGGGCTTTTAGAGAGTCCCTACTTCTACATTTTGAAGACGACACCGCATATTTCAAAGATGATAGGAAAAAGATAGACTTTGTGCTGTCTTTTATGAAAGAAGGAGAAGCCGCAGCCTTTCAGACCAATTGGCTAGAAAACAGAGTCGACGCCAACAGCTAGGGCTAAACATAACAAACACATACAGAAGTTGGCCGTTTTTTGCCGACAAGATGGAAGAAAGATTTAAAGACAGTTTTGAAAAAGAAACTGCAAAGAATGAAATATTGACCCTAAGACAGGGCAATGAAACTGCTCAAGCCTTCTTTGAAAAGTTTGAAGAAAAGAAGAGGTGGGCAGGATACAACAATAGAATGAATGAGGAGTTCCTGATCTCATTGCTAAGACAGAACATGAATAAGCCCTTGGTACATTGGGTAATCTACGGAGGGCATATTCCCAGAGATTACCAGGAGTGGAAACGAGAACTCATCCGGATAGACTACATCTGGAGAGAACAAGAGAAAGAGAAGAAGGCATCTGAATTTGGAAGGAAACCAAGTGAGAAAAATTCAGAACAGAAAACAGAAAAGAAGAGGGACAGAACAGGCTACACATATACAGGTAGCGGAGAAAGAATGGAAGTAGACAAAGCAAAATTCCGCACTGAGGGACAATGTTACCGGTGCGGAGAGAAAGGACATAGAAGCTTTGAGTGCAAAGACGCACAAACAAAGAAGCCTCAATTTAATATTTGAGAATTTTTAGAGAAAATGACAAAAGAGGAGAGGGAAAAACTCCTGGCAGGTTTTTAAAGAGGCCAGCGGAACAGCATCAAATGACTGCGCCTAAAAACAACATTTCAAACCAATTTTCTTCTCTAAATGTGGAATCATGTAATCTACCAGAAAGCACAGAAAATGAAATCATTGACACACACACAAAGAAAAAAATAAGGAATGAAAGAAAAGATGCAAAAAGGAAAAGCACAACCGCGGCAGAAGCGGCGCATAGTGACGAGACATCCACAGCTTTGATGGCGGGCAAATCACTAGAAAGCACAGCAATGACGGCGGATGCTAAGAAACCTACACCCAATGCGGCAAGCTCTACAGAGAAAAACGCAGCAGAGACTGTAGAAGGGAGGTCAGGAACCCCTCCAAAACAAAACCTAGACAGAAAAGAAGTCTGGACCCCAGAATGGGTAGTGGACAGGCTTAGAGACCAAAGTGAAAAAAAATCCATTGGGATTCTAAGTGCCTGGACATGTTAAAAGACAACTAAAGAAGTAACCTGGGAAACAATAAAAGAAATCAACCACTATATTAGACACTCTGAAGACAAAAATGGTCGAAGCACTATTAGATAGTGGATGCACAGGGAGTTGCATCGACTCTCAATTTGTGAAAGACCAAAATTATGAAACAAAAAAGATACCTAGACCAATTCCAGTTTATAATGCAGATGGTACTCTTAATAAAAATGGAGCCATCAATGAATTTGTAATACTACTTATGGAAATTGATAATCACATTGAAAGAAATCATCCCGCCGTAACCAATCTTGGTAACGGAAAGATGTTTTTAGGACATGAGTGGTTATACAAACATAACCCAACAATAGACTGGAAAGAGTCACAGTTAACCTTTGAAAGATGTCCTGAAGAGTGCAAACCCAAAATCTGAATCTCTGATCCAGAGGAGGACCCTGAAACACTCTTCGAAGAACTTGAAGTGGAGGAAAGATTGATACAGATAAATCTCCATAATTTCAAAGACACCACTATCGATAATCAATACTATCACATTAGGGCCCAAGGCACAATGGCACAAAGACTAGCCGAAGCTGCGGGCAAAGATCGGAAAAAAGGCAGATTTGAAAAGATAGTGTCAAAGCACCTTCATCAATACAAAGACGTATTTGATAAAAAGGAATTTGATGCACTACCTGAAAGGAGACAATGGGACCATGCAATTGAACTAGTACCAGGAGATCACTCCCTAGATTGCAAGATTTACCCATTAACAAGAGGAGAACAGGAAGAGTTAGATGCATTCTTGAAAGAGAATCTAGAATCGGGACAGATAAGACCATCCAAATCCCCGTTCACATCACCCTTTTTCTTCATAAAGAAAAAAGACAAAAAGCTAAGACCAGTTCAGGACTATTGGAAGTTAAATGATATCACTATCAAAAACAGATATCCACTTCCCCTGATTGGAGAACTAGTAGACAAGTTGAGCGGAGCAAAGTACTTCACAAAGCTGGACATAAAATGGGGATATAATAATATCTGAATGAGAGAGGGAGATGAGCCAAAAGCGGCATTCAGAACAAATTGGGGGTTATTTGAACCATTAGTCATTTTCTTTGGGCTGACAAATTCCCCTGCCACATTCCAAACGATGATGAACGCACTCTTTAAAGAATTGATAGACAAAGGGCTTGTGATCATAAATCTGGATGATATTATGATATACACAGAGCAACACAATGTGTATTAGAAATCCTGAGAAAAAACCATCTCTACCTTAAACCAGAGAAATGCGATTTCGAACAAACAGAAGTAGAATATCTGGGATTGATCATCTCAGAAAACGAAATTTGCATGGATCCAGTAAAAGTAGAAGGAATTAGCAAATGGCCAGAATGTAAAAACAAAAAAGATATCCAAGCATTTCTGGGCTTTGTGAATTTCTATAGAAGGTTTATAGAAGGATTCGGAGAAGTAGCGAAATTATTGACCAAGTTAACGGGAAAAGAGGAATTCATTTGGGGAAATGAACAACGTGAGGCATTTGAAACTTTAAAGAAACGCATTGCTTCAGCCCCTGTGCTAGCCCTCCCAGTACCACATGGCCAATATAAAGTGGAAGCAGACAGTAGTGACTTTGCAATGGGAGCTGTCTTATCACAGAGACAAAAAGATGACTGGAGACCAATCACATACCTTTCTAAAGTGCTGAATCCCACAGAGCGTAATTATGAAATCTATGACAAAGAACTCCTTGCCATTATGACAGCACTCAATGAATGGAGGCATTACTTAGTAGATGCGGAGGAAGAATTTGAGATATGGACAGATCATCAAAATCTGTTATATTTCAAAGAACTGAGGAAGTTGAACAGACGACAGGCAAGATGGATGACAGAGTTGAGTCAGTATCATTTCACAATACACCATATGCCTGGGAAGAAACATGTGAAAGCGGATCTGCTCTCAAGACGATCAGATCATAATAAAGGAAAAAGAGACAACGAGGATGTTGTACTATTAGATGAGAAACTATTTGTACAAATGACCCTTTCATCAGAACAGAGACAAGCAATGGCAGATAGTGGGGAAGAAGAATTAGTAATTTTGAAGTGGATCTTAAAAAGAAAAGGAAACATAGATGACTTGATAAAAAAGATGAAAGGAAAGATAGAGAGAAGAGAAGATGGATGGTTTGAAGATGAAGGTTATGTAGTATTCAAAGGCAGAATATATGTACCAAAAGATGCCAAGTTGAGGGAAGAAATCATCAGACGGAACCATGACTCTACCATTGCAGGCCACCCAGGCAGATATAAAATGAAAGAGTTGATCACTCGAGAATACTGGTGGCCTTACATGGACAGAGATAGATATCACGAGATATGTAGATGGATGTGAAATCTGCCAAAGAACTAAGACAGATCACAAAAAGAAAGCGGCACCACTCCATCCAAACAAAATCCCAAGTAAACCATGGAAAATCATTTCAGTGGATCTAATCGGACCATTACCAGAACTAATTGGATACAACATGATAATGGTAGTCGTAGACCGATTCACAAAAATGATCAAGACAATTCCCACTCAAATAGAGATTACCTCAGAAGGAGTAGCACAATTATTTAGAGATCACATATTTAGAAACTACGGTATACCCGAAAAGATCATTTCAGATTGGGGACCGCAATTTGTTTCTAAATTTATGAAAGATCTACAAACACTACTCCAGATAAAAGCAAATCCATCAACAGCATGGCATCCACAAACGGATGGGCAAACAGAGAGGATCAATCAAGAGATAGAACAATATCTGAGAATCCTTGTAAACCATAAACAAAATGATTGGGCAGAATAGCTTACTTTAGCAGAGTTCTCATATAACAACAAACAACACTCTGTGACAGGTTATAGCCCATTCTACCTAAATCAAGGACGTCATCCGAGAACACAGGAAGTAGTGAAAGTGGAGGTGAAAAGCGAGAGCGTGGAAGATTTTGTAAAGAGAATGACAGACACAAGGAAGAAAGCGGAAGAGTCATTACGAAAGGCAGGAGAACAGATGAAGAAGCAGTATGACAAAAAAAAGAGGGACATTGTGGAATATACAATAGGAGACAAAGTATATGTGGAAGCAACAAACATCTCGACAGACCGACAGACCAGCTAAAAAATTGGATGATAAAAGTGTTAGAATATACTCTGACATACCAATACTCCATAGGATAATACCTCTGATTTGTAAGCCAGCCCAGTATGCAGCAGCTATTCTGTGTAAGATGTCCATGGTTGCATGTCATGTTTAAGATCCTACATTGTATAACCTTGGCCATATAGCTCAATTGGTAGAGCAGCTGGCATGTATCCAGAAGGTTCCAGGTTCAATCCCTGGTCTGGTTATTATCCAATTTTATCAAAAAGATACGGACCATTCGAGATCATCAAAAAGATAGGCGAGTCAGCCTACAAACTACTGCTACCACCAACATGGCGATCCATTCATCCAGTTTTTAACGAGACAAAACTCACACCCTACCGAGAACCACAATTCCCCTCTCAGAAACAACCCAAATCGATACCACTGGTGATAGTGGATGGACAAGAAGAGTATGAAGTTGAAGAAGTTCTAGACTCACGTCTAAAAAAAGGAAAATCAGAATATCTAGTTCATTGGAAGAACTATCCAAAAGAGGAACGCATATGGGAACCCGAACAACACCTATCAAATTCACCAAAAAAGGTAGGATTATTCCATGAGAAAAACCCTAGTGCACCTTGACGGATACAATTTCAATTACAATTCCAACCTTTTGAGAACTTTACTACAACAAGAGTACAAAAACAACTATTCAACTGAGAACCTGGAAAACTGGACCCTCACTTTCGAGACGAAAGTCTTAAAGAGGGGGTAATGTCACGATTTGGACAAAATCTTATCTAATCTTGAAACATCTTATCATTATCATCATGTGATCTTACTATCACATGACCCATTACGCAAGCAATAGTTAATAATATCCATTATGTGACCTTACTGTCACCTGACCAAAGTCTAGACTATGACATAGTACATCAGTCAGCGCCTCATGGCTGACCTTCAGAAAACGTATATATACTGCTACTCATGTACATACATTCTTCAGTTGTTGATTACTTCTTTTACATCGATACTTGACACTACTTGTTTGATTTGAGCCTCACACCTCCGTTAGTTTGGCATAAGGTGTAGAGATCTAATATCAGCTTCAAACCACAAGTTATCATAGTGCTAATAAAAGCAGGCTTGCCTACAGACAAGCAAACTAAGTTTGAAAGAGACTGGAGTACATTGGTGAGTTGGCTTATGTGAAACAATTTGAAGGTGACTTACTTTGGATGGAGGTGGAAAAACAAGTCCAGACCTGGGAAGACAGTTGTCTTGCGTTTGACAAAAAATTGCAAAATGCACAGTTGAAGTGGGAATCACATATTGTTGAATATGTGGACTATGTCTACAAAGCTACTAAATTATATGCAAATAATCAGCATAATAAAGTCCCTCCAAGCCTCAAGAACACTGTACCTATTTATAGTCCCCATTTCTCCCCACCATCATTTTTCCACCTGGAGAAGCGTAAAAATCTTCCAGCTATCAAACCAGAAATTGCCTACCTGAAGCCTATAACAATTATCTATCCATTCTACTTCAACAATATGGAAATGTGTCCAAACTGTAGGTCAACAGATGTGTATTGGGGTGGGTGGACCTCCACTGGCCATCATGATGTTTATGGTGTTGGGCGGGAAGAAACTGCACTTGGGTTTCAATTGAGATGTTGGGTCTGCAAAGAACACTCACCGGGCTCAAAGCATGGATCTAGAAACAAGCATCATTGCTTCACAATGACTAGCCATGTGTTCTGGGAAAAATGGGAGTTCTGGCAGATTCTAAGTCAGTGTTTTGGAACATGTTAGAAGAAATAGGACTCACCAGAGTTTACAGGAGGAATCCCCATTTTCTTCAAACGATATGCCATCACACAGGACCTATTTCACTTGTTAGTAGAAATGCGACCTTTGAGCACATTGGCAGCGCTGTCAGATAACATTCAATGTGAGTTCCACTCACTTTCTCTGACATGACAAGAGCATTAACTTCATTGGGGAACCAATAACCACGCAGAGCTTCATTTGCTGCAATATTATCAAGCTCAGCTTGAATATCTACAAGGCTTCCAAAGACGGAGAAGAAAACAGTGCTCACCTTTTAAACCATGTGATCCTCTACAAGTATTCTCAGGGCCAGATGGACAATATGGGAGCAAGTTGATAACAAATGATTTGGTCACTGATATTTATCTTAAAGTCAGTAAACAAACAAGGAAAGAAGAAAGCTGCCACTATTTACAAACATTGTCTGGTGAGCAATAGCCTGAGATCACTGATTGATCCGAAGATCAGGACTTACAGTGGCACTGTCAACAGGCGCTTGTCTGTCTCTTGACACAACATTCAAGTCTGTGGGGAAAGCAACAGTAACTGACAAAAAGTCAAGTCAAAGTACGTGAAGGGGGGGATTTTCAGCATCATAAACAAGAATAAGGAGATACTTGCCTGGGTGAGGTTTTTGAGGTTTTGTACCAAGTTCTCTTATTGAAACTCATCAGAAAATGCTTAGAGGATGTGTCAGACTCAAATTAATGCAGAAATAGTAGAAGCACTTAGCGGACTGAGGAATTATTTCACAGAACTTGGAGTTGCACCACCAAATATGATTATTGCTGACAATTGTTGCTATATTTGTATTGCAATTCTCAGTGTGTTTCCTGGGGTACACATTGGCCTCAATGTCTTGCATTTTATTATGAGGTGAGTACCATCCATTTTCCGAAACAAATGAAGCATATGTTTGTGTACTTACAATCATATTGTAGGTATCTAGCATCGGTTTTGAATGGAATAAAGAATCCCCTGTGTTCAGTGGTCGCTCAAGAAGTAAGCAATGCAGTCCTCAAGACAGAAGCCTCTAAAAACGGACAGATGGCAGAATACCGAGATAAATTTGAACAAGAGGTGCTTCTGCAGAGGATGTTTGAGAAATGGGCTGAAAAAGGTGGTGTATGGTCAGAGGCAGCATCCAAGGTTCGTTTTATTGGTATATAGTTGTTATTTCTACACAATACAGGACAGGTACATGCAGACCAACTTGCCCATGTGAAGAAGGGCTGTCTGTCTCGAATGCGCCAAGACATCCGCTCTGATGGAAGCCAAATTGAGGGATCACACAATGGGATGGAACTTACTAATGAGGTCCTTTTCAAGTGGTCTCAAAATGTTCACAGCACTCTCTATCGACTTTGTGATCCGTTGTAACATTAGCATAGCTTACAAGATGCCAAAATCATCTCACTTCATTCAATCAACTCATGGCACTCACTATCTACGCTTTGTCAATCACATTGCAAACTTATGGAACAACCTGGCTGATTCAGAACCAATCACTCAAGGTTGCCAATTCATGCAGCCTAGTTGCCCAGTACTCCCAGATATTGAAACTGACAAAGCATTTGGGCTTACCCAGTCAGAGAATGCGGGCACATTTGGTGGACTGTTTCAGATAAAAGCAGAAGACCCAAACCTCGAGGATAACAGCATATTTGACCCCCCCAAATGCAATGACAATCTTGAGCCAAAGTATGTACTGGCGTCTATGAACATTGATTTGGCATTACTTTTTTTACCTCAAGCTCCAGAAGCATCTAGCTTGTTTACATTGGACAATAATGCCACAACTTCTGTGATGCAAATTGGACCGCCAAAATGCAAGGTAACATTCTGTGACTTGACTGGTGATGATGCTCTGGCTTCTGAGGGTCCAACTGTGAAAAGGGGCCGGTTGCTCTCTCCAGTAAGTGCTTCTCCCTTGAAAGCTCTTACAAAGTATTTACCAGCAGAACACCAGCAAGCAGGCACAAAGAGAATACAGGATGGCCAGATGGTCCTGAAAGGAAAAGAACAAACCTCACATGTAGACTCGAATGACCAACCTGAGATTATCCCTAAAACCAATGTCTTCACCTCAACCAACCATGATCAGCATATTATTTCTAAAACCAATGTCTTCACCTCAACCAACCAGACAAGCTCGAAGGCAATCCAAGGTAACCAGGCACTCAATCCCATCGACAAATTCTTTACATCTCAGAAGGGTACTAGTATGGCTGTTCCATCCAGTGCCATGATGACAAAGCCTGTCACTAATCCAACATCTCTCACAACCATTCTTCCTCTCCCTGATGCTCAGTCCCTCTCCCGCTCAGAATAAATATTCTCAATTTCTGCTGGCATTGATGTTCACTCTCTCACCATCAAAACAGACAATGAATTCTACCTCTTCATGGACATGCATTTGGAGCAAAAGTGGACGTTGTTTGGAATGACATCTCGCAAATGGGTGCAGGCTACAAAGGACTACTATGCACAGCTGGAGGGTTTGAATAAGTCCATAGGGCAGCAACCATACAAAAGAAGCCTCGCGCCTTGTTTGAAAAACTCGGTGACATTGAGGCTTAGTTGATTGAGTGGATTAAAACAGGTAACTACAAATGCATGTATCTTATTTTTTTAGCTGTGACTATTTTATTAACCAGCCCTTTCACCAGCAAAATCAGGAAGAGATATGTTTTGGTGCAAACACTGTGCCATCTCCATTGTCAAGACCAAAGAAATTGGCACCATCTCTAATAAAACTGTAAGGATAGCTACTGCTGTATCAAACAATCTACTAATATTTCTCTTCTTTCCAGTGCAAGACGCAAACCTGCAGTCATTGTTGTGTCGTCAAATATCCCGGAGATACAGGGTGCACTACAAATCACAAGAAGTTCTACTGTTCTGATGGTGTTAAAGTACCTCCAAGGAAGAATCCTCTCCATGATGAGTTCCCTCCGTGGCCACAACTAATGGGTGTCTTCACCTGTGGCACTTTTCACCCTCTCCTATTCCTTTCTGCAGTTCGCAACATGTACAAGAGGGTTATTATCCAGCATGGAGACGGTGCCGGCTTGGCAATGGAGTACAGGGCATTTGCGGATATGCTCTCAAAGCATATCATCACAACTTCAGATGGGTCCGTCCTTTTTTGGCTCTATGAGAACCTGACAACAAGTCCTCCCATGCCCAAATTTGTGGTTGATTACGAGGGGAGAAAGCTGTTAGTTTTGGTGATTCTGCACCTTTGTGCTACCTATATATTTTCATTCCTTTCTCTATCTATTCTTCTATCATTCACTATTGATTGTGTTCTCTATGATTTCGCCTTTGTGGCTGCTTTGTTTACCTTTGTTTACAAAACTTCGGACAGTACTGCAGAGTCCAATGCTTCCTATTCTCTAGTTACTCACATTGGACTCTAGTTCCAGTCCCTGATTGCTCTCAGCAAGTGGCTAGACACTTCCTTCAAGCTTTGTTCTTAATAAAAGCATCTTCGTGTGTACTGTTTTTGTGATTCTAAATCTTCATTTTCTTTGGGGGCAAGCACAGCTTAGTTTTTACATTTTGTTTTGTTGATTTAATAGCCCGTTCCTGATGTATATTACATGCATGTGTCCGAATCTGATCCAGCCTTGCCTTCCGTTGCTCTTCTTCGTGCCCCTTCAAATCATGCCCCTTCAAATTCCTCTCTAGTGTTTTGACTTGCGCGTTTGAAAGAATACTTGAAGAATACTTATTGAATACTTGCTGGTTTGTCTCCCTGTGGGCTTGCTTCGAACCTGGGGTGAAAACTGGCTACCTGGGTACTTGCTCATTTGTTGGTACTTGCTGATTTGTCTCCCTAGTGGGCTTTCTTCGCTGAAAGAAAACTCGCAATCTGTAGTCTTGTGACCAGAGCTAGGAGGGATGTGGGAATGCGTCTGATGTTTGACTGCTTCCCAAAATGTCTAGACTACATGCATCTGCAAAGTACAAAATTCTCGCTTACAAATAACCAAGGGAACTTCTAGTGTAGAAGGTCAGAAAAGCCTCTGATTGGATGTAAGGGAAATACATCCCTTTTGGGAATACAAAAGTCTGATACATCTCCTTATCTACACAACTATTGAGATAAAAGAATGATGGGAGCTCCAGCAAATTCTTGCTGTCAAGACATTGATTGTGTGCTCAAAGTAAGGTACAGTGACCTCAAAAATCCTTTCCATGTTGACTCTGGGTGTCATGCATGAAGCATACCATCAAATAGCTTGAGAATTGCACTTAGCTTTGGTGGAGTTATAAATAGTAAATACTCTTGGCTATAAAATTGCCCCATAGGTCATGTGATTTGGTTGACATGCTATAGAGATATGGTTGATTTAAAACAGCAACATCATGGAAAGGGTTTTTTCACTTTTGAATTGAAAAGGGTATTTGGTTATTATCAGTACTTGGTATAGCCGTCTTTTGCTGTAAACACTGCCTGAATCGTTCTAGGCATACTTTCAATTAATTCCTGACACTCCTCAACTGGTATCTTCTCCTACTCCACTTAAGTCCTTTCCCACAATTTATGAATCATATAGCATGTGAACCAAATCACATGACCTATGGGGCAATTTTATAGCCAACAGTATGTACTATTGATGACTCCACCAAAGCTAAGTGCAATTCTCAAGCTATTGATGGTATGCTTCATGCATGACACCCAGAGTCAACATGGAAAGGGTTTTTGGAGTCACTGTATGAGATCAACTGCATGAGATACAACAGACAGTGGCATGATCCCTCCTTTTAGCAATGGCTGTCCTGAAGAATCAAATATAGGTAGCACATATCTTTCAAGGAGATACATATTAACATCTGGCTCCTCCAAGATAGCGCAATCCTGAGCCATTTGTGTGAAGCAAACATTTTGGACATAAATGAGAGGTTGCAAAAACTGGTGATAGGAGAGATATTAACTAGGCCTATATAAATCAAAAAAACACAAGCTTACATATATTATCCTGCGATACCAGTACTGGATCAAAAATGCCTTACAGATAATCAGTGGATGATGGTTGTGCTGCTACACTTTGACAGGGCATGACAGTGTTGGGGCGGTGAACAGAAAACGGTTGGATTCAGAATTTAAACTATATACGGACATGATCAAATGGAAATACTCCGTCATCAGAAGCTTGAGATGCAATAGCATATTTAACAAGGGCGGGACAAAAATACTCGAGGCCAAATCTCAGGGCGGCAGCATGGATGGTGAGTTTGGCTATGTTAGGGGAAATATTAGTGTGGAAAGCTGCTCAACAATCTTTAGAGAGTGTCCTGTCCAAAAAATAGTTCCGCCTGGTGCAAATGCCCTGCGTGCTCTTCTCATTGGGCAGAACGCGCAATATCCACTCTTCCTCAGGGTTCATCTCCACAAATACTTCCTCCACCTCGGCCTCCACTAACAAGTTCATAAGGCTGACACCATGTGAGATAAGTAGCGTGAAAAGATTGAACAACCTTGTTCTTTCCAGACGATCTAAAATCTGGACACACTATTGCTCAAAGTCAGTGCGATGATTCAATTCATTCCATTGCTGAAGGGATGTTGGAAATGAGTGATGAGGATTTGCTCCATTACATCAGCTGTATACTGCATAATCGAGCCCATGTTTTAATTGGCTCAAACAAAACTCTGCATCAGCTCAAGTTTTGGTATCCAGAAATGTTTTATTGGTCCTTTTTTGCCTTTCCATGCACCTGACTGTAGAATAGCATCCTTTTTGTGGTGAAATGCTGCTAGCAAAAATGATAGTGATTGTAGAGAAGTGGTGGTATGGATTGGGGCTTGAGCCTGGTAGATGGAGTTGATTGGGGAACAAATGACACAGACAAATGTAGGAGGGGCACAACCAGCAATAACCGCCACTATACTACGTTGGATATCACAATGCTCTCTCCCTGTCATCTGTCTAACATGAGTAACCCCACTAACAAAGTGACAAAACCCAGTGTAAGGACTATTTACGTTTTCTTATTGTTTTGTTCCATGTCTTGGTTCTCAGACACTTTCCCCATTACACCTCTGGCTCTAGGGCTAGAGACATCCTTTGCCATCTTACTTCTCATAGCCCTAACAGGCTTTCTTAACCATTGTTACCACTCCATATTGCAGATCAGAGACTGGGTAGTACTCCCAGCTAGCCAGCACAATGGGTAAGGACTAGTAGCTGAGATCTCGCCAACCAGCTCCAAGTTCCATCAGTGCCTGGATATATTAATAGCCACTTTAGTCAGGATCGTACCTCATCATGAGGAAAAAGTTCCTGAACATGCGTGATACTACCTATTATTAGTACATTTTCTCACCTGCTGATTAATCCCTGAAGTTGTACAATAGTTATTCTTTTTTTTATTGGATAGTTTCATCCTCAGACCACTTTTCTTTTATTCTACTTCCGGTCTGAGAGATAGACAATTCAATTAGCTGTAAAAACCCTACATACTCATGTATTGTTCTTTAGCTTTTTATTACTTGAATAACCCGCTTTACTCCTCATCAGAAACCCTTGAGTTTACTATCAGTCCTCTACATGCTATAATCTCTAGCATCTGTTGACCTCAAACTCATTGTACCTCTTACTCCCTGCAAGTACAGTCAGAGACGGGTATTATTTTTGTTATATATATAATGTTGCCTCACATCCAGTACACTTGTGAAGACTTCAAAAGCAAGCATCCAGCTCGTTCTTTCCTACAATTTTCTTACACCAAAGGAGGATGTGGTAAAAAAAAAACTTGTGGTAGACGTGAAGGATTTTTGGAACAAGGAAGTTGGCTGGATCAGAAAGGGCCCAACCTTGCCAGAATGGTTTGTGTACACCACTCAAACCATTTTTCTTTGACTCTGTCTGAAACTTCCTGACATCCTAGGGGTGGACCTTCTGTGCAAGCTGGCATACTAACATATAAGTGTCATCATTGTGATGAGGAGGATAAACCCCTGAATACCCAAACTGTTTCAATGTAGCAATTGTGACCAGCAAGGAGTTCTTCATAATGCATGAGATAAGTTGTTGTTCTGGAAGATCGGCTATCCAACTAAATGTGTGTATGTGAGTTGTATTTGACCGAAAGGGTCTGTTAGAAATTTGCCATTTTGAGCACATGACTTGAGGTTTTCGGTGATTTTATCCATACATGTGTGATAGACACGGGAGGATAGAAGAGATACAATATCAGAGTTCCTGTTGAACTTTGGAATAGGCAAGAAACCTGCACAAATCCATGCATGGGACTTTTTTTTTGTCCTGACATGTGACCTGAGGGTGAAAATGATTTGCTACAGGACACAGAGTAAAATTAATATATGTTTTTACATTTTGCTCAAATTTTGTATGTATGATTCTTGTTTATCCCTTTTCCCTATGTATATGCATTGCACTTGATGCTGCTCTCCTTTGATTCTCCTATTATGTATTCCTATCACGCTGTCCCTGTTGTACGTCAAAGACCACTGTAGTACACGCAAATAAACATCCTTATCTTGAAGCAGTGAGCTGGTAACAATTATCTAAGTAATATAGGAGATTATGAGGAGGAACTCAAGTTGAGCTGTGCAGCGCCAACTAGTTCAGCTTGTCAGGGTGTGGTCCGGCTTATGCCGGGGATGACTTTGCCTCACCTCATCATGATGCCCTCAGGCTGGGGGCCTGCTAACACTCGAGAACACATTTTTTATATACAGGTGCAGGCAATGTGCTGGTCTCCCATGGACCATAACTCAGTTTCTCGATGAGTAGGATTAAGCTGATTGGATATGCCATTAAACTCCGGACAGTTTTTCTCATTCTGAAAGGTGTAGACTAGGTAATTTCTACTGTATAAATGCTGCTTACAAGTCTACTGTTAGCAGTCTTCAGATCAGCCACAATGTTCCACGACTTCCAAGCTGACATAGAGCAATGCCCAAAAGAGAGTACCAACCCGAAAAGTCTTCCAAATCCACAACTACTCAACTCCTTTTCAGCCCCCAGCAGATCCTCCTAGCTTCCATGACACAACACTGTAAGTGGATTTCTAAACAAGAGAACTCACTGATTGTTTTTGATGCCATTTCTGAACAGACCCGGAGATCAAGGCAATCAAAGCAAATCTACAAGCGGTGGTGGGTGTGGGCATGGTTGTGGGTAAGGACGGGGAGGGGGACGAGGAGGGCAGGTCTCTGTAGCTCAAGATCTGCCATAATCTGTGAGACCTAGAGATTGGGGGAGAGTAAGTGATTGTGTTTTTTGTTGGTTAATACACTACTGATCAGGCTTGCCTTGTTTGCAGGGAAAAGCCCCAGAAATTAAAATGCAACTCACACTGACCCAATTTCCACACTGATCTTTGATTCCAGCCTCCATAGTGTCCAGTCCCAAGTCCCATCCCACTCAGTGGTTTATAACAGGCTGTCCTCATCTGTGTTTGACCCATGAACAGTCCCACAACCGCCGCGATCAGCAAAAACCAAGGCTTATCAGCTCAATGGGGGGGATGACAATGACTTTGTTGACTTTTACCAGCCAGACCCTGATCATCACATAGCTGAAGCTCATATTGATGAAAAAATTGGTGGCAAAGCTTTTGACACCCAACAAGTTGCCTCAAGCATGTTGGGCATGGCTTTCAGCCAATTCCCACAGCCCCCTCTTATCAACCCTTTGGTCTATCAACACTTATGCAGCAGCAGCAGCCTCCATCCTTTCACCAACTATCCATACAGCAGGCCCTACCTCCTTCTTTTCCATAGGCCCAGTTAGCTCTTTCTTTTCCACAGTGCCAGCCAGCTCCTTCTTTTCAACAGCCCCAGCCTCCTCCTTTTTCTTTTCAGCAGCCCCAGCCCCAGCCTCCTCCTCCTTCTTTTCAACAATCCCTGCTCCCCCCAACCTGTCCTCAAGCATCCACTGACTATACACATGCACCGGCTTTCTTATATATGGCGTCCCAATACACCAGCACCCTCTCTGCACCTCAAAATCCACCAAGTGCCTTGCAATCGCAAATTGAGCTCCCCGTCAACCAGGGGATTGTGTTGGGTAGGAGAGAGGGGCCTGTGAGAGGCGGTTACATCCGTGACCAAGTAGTAGCAGTAAGACTACCATCAGCATTGCCAGGCATTAGGTACTAACTTGCTTCTTAGGATTATGGCCCGGCATGTAACGTTCTCAAGATGCACCGGGAAAAAAATTGTGCGGTCCCATTGCTGCTTGCATAATGCCGTCAAATCCCACATATCCGGCAGCAATCTTTAAGCTTGGATAAAGAGTCTAATATAAACATCCAAAGAAAATGTACCAGGAGGAGCAAGGACAATGGCTACTTCCATCTCAATAAGGCCACAGTGAAGATGGCAGCAGATTGGTTTCACATACATACCATCAAGGTTGAGGCCATGCCTGAATATCAATTTGCAGGGGCTGAAAAAGTTGTAGAAGAGCTCCTGGTTGAACTTGGCACCCCTTGTGACAACAGCAAGGTTCCATACAACCCTGATGATCTTAAAGAGGTACGTGTCTGACAATTTATATACTCTTTCGGCGTCACTTACTGTTACGATAACACAATTTTTGGACCTTTCCTTCATTTTCATTCTCCGCTTTAACCTTGTATACTTTAGCTTTCACACATGGTGCCACGCGGCACTTCCCCTTTTGTTCAAACTCCTCTTTCTCACGCCGCATAGCTGGTCATGCGGGCTAGGCCCCATGACATCATCAGCCATTGACTTTATCAACTGTACAGTACATAAGTACAAACACTCTGTATTAGGATATATACCCCAATAGATCCAGGAGACTCCTCAGCGAGTCCTCCTGTTGTATACCAACAAACTCTCTGCAGCTTAAAGGGTAACCACTCCCTCATTACTACCTTTATAGTGTGTTCTTGTGTGTGCCAGAGTAACTAACTCTTGGTTGTTACACTTACCAACAGAACAGGTTATGAACACTATGTACGGTATCTGCGGGGACTTCAAGTCACATTCCCGCGGTATATGCAAAGATATCTACCAGCTACACCTCCTGTTGATTAGGTGTAGGATTTGACAATCTCAAAGGTAGAGTACAAGAACAATTGAGTAACGGAGCTTTTGTGGAAGCCTCAATGTATCTTTCTGCATGGAAAACCGGGTCTTAATGTAAGTCATTCTCTCTATACTCAGAAGCTCTTGTTGATGTTAAAGCAGGGAAAAACAAGATACTTCAGGCACCCCGCCCTCATATGTCTCATCCTCAATATACAATACAAGTCAAAGAATGGTCTTGGCTGCCTGTTTGCCAGCAATATTGGTCCTCTTGCAGCCCACATCACTTTGGCTCTAGCAGGTACAGCTTTATATGCCTCCCTCAAGGAACTCAGCACAGAGGTCTTTGAAGCGGCCAATTTCTCTATCAACTTATACCGCAAATTTTACAAGAAGCTAATGTCCCTCATTAACAATGTCATCATGCATGATAATGAGCTTAGAGAAGATTTCGAAGATCTTCTGGCTTTTATTGTCTCTTGTGGCATGTCTATGTGAGTTATTTATTATCACTATCCGCTCATTCTTTCTCAATCTCCTAACAGGCGTTGAACAAAGTCTCTTTGTTGTTGTTTCTTGTTGTAGTAGTCATGCATGTAATCTTTTGATCTTTTGATTTAATCACTATTTATGTCTTGTTATCTCGATATCAGTGCATGATCAATTTTAGTTAATCTACTGATAAAGTCATTGGACACACAAAAACACAACCTCATATCATTTTCAACAAGGTTCTGCTTGATTTGGATGATAATAATGCAAAATTGGTTAGCACCAGTGATTTAAGCAAGCCCAAAATGGGCTGCTCAGAGTGTTTAGGAGTGTCTAGTAGACGCTCCTAGTGCCAAAAAAAATAGATGGTTGTTGACCGATTGTCATGTGACTTGACCATTTGATTTTACCCCAGGTTGTGAGTTTTTCAATAAGTCTGTTCTAACCCTATTAAGGGGGTTCATATACTGTCTCTCACTGGCAACAGTCTTCAAGGATGCAGCAGCATAGCCTTGTCCAAAGTAAGGCCATTTTGCAGAAGCCTTACATTTGGTGCCAATAAATATTTTTCTGAATGCTCAAATGCCTGGCTGCGGCATCATGGCTCTGTGTCGGCACAGAACGTACATTTTCAACAAAGAAAAGTGCTGCATGGCACAAGTGTCCAAAAATGATAAAAAAGGTTAGAGCAGAGAAAGAAAGTTGTAAAGCCAAGAATTGTAACAAAAGCAATGTAAAGACTTTCAATAATCATACCTGCATGTCCCAAACCACATAAGCAATGGCCAACAGACAATCTATCCTCAAGTGCTTCTTGCCTTTATGCTCCTCAATTAAGCACTCACCTCAGCCAAATGATAATTGACTGAGGTGGCAAGTCCGAGTTTCTATGTTTACGCAATTTTCTGCTTGTATCCTCCTGAATTATACTTTCTAGGTGTATGTTTGCCACACACCAAGTCTATTACTTCTTGTCAACTACAATACCTCCCCTCAAACTAAGTGCATGCTCAGGAACTCCAGCAAATACTGAATGCGGCTTGGGACTAGCAGCTTTGTGAAGGTGTGGGCATTTTATTGGTGGGACAGTAGGAGGTATCTGGTATACCAGCAGTTATTTTTTGGCAGATAAAATAGTACCGCACATCAAAGTGCTTGGTTCATGCATGGTGTACATTATTTTTTGTGAGTTCCAGAATATATTACTGTAGCTTCTTCTAGGGTCTTGCTTTCAGTATCTTCAATTAGGGCTCGGAGCCATAGGGCCTCTTTGGAGGCATTGGTGAGTCCTATATATTCAGCCTCTGTTGACAACAAACTGACTATCACTTGTTTCTTTGAGCTCCAGGACATCAATCTGTTGCAATACTGTAGAAAAAAGTGTTACATTACACAATTTTTGGACCTTTAAATTTCATTCTCCACTTTAACTTTATTTTGTAGTATTCACACACCGTGCCATGCGGCACTTTCCATTTTTGTTCAAACTCCACTTTCTCATGCTGCACTGCTCATTTTAATTCTTAGCTACAAGTCTCTCACACAGTAGAGCTGGTCACATGTGCTGCGCCCTATGACATTGTCAGCCACTGCCTTCATCAACTGTATAGTACATATGTACAAATAGTCTGTAGTACTATAAATACCCCAATAGATTAAGGAGACTCCTCAGCGAGTCCTCCTGTTATTTACCCACAACAAACCCGGTTTTATCATAAGAGGTATCCACTCCCACTCACTTCACTCTTGCTTGTCTGAGCTGTGCACCAGAGTATACAAACTTTGGTTGTTACAAAAAGTGTAGCTGGAGATTGAGTGGCAATGTGATTGCAATGCCCAATCACTATCTGTGTACCCAGTTAGGCACTTATCTGATCCTACCAAGGTAAGTTAGTAGTTTAGTGTTCCTTTGACGTATCTGATTTTCACAGCTGTCTAGTGTTCTGTTCTGGGGTTGTTTAAAAATTGGGACAAGAGAGAAATGGCAACTGTAATGTCTGGCCTTATACCAGGCTCCTCTACAGCCACTGTTTTGAGAGAGGAGGACTTAATCCTAGAGCCACAAAATAATAATGAGATTAGATATGATTAGATATGATAAGATAATAATTGAAAGTCAGCACAACTTTATTCCAACTTAAGCCTGCAAAAAACATGGATAGGAGCCTGGCTTTTGCTGGGTTATCCTACAGATGCCAGTAAAGGAGTTTAAATCCTGCCTGGCCATCAACATACATCACTGGACTGCATTACACAGGACCATCTGTATTGAGTACTTGTAGATACAAAATTAGTAATTATACTGCAATTTGAAGAATGATTAACATTTTTCAATGTCCAACAATGATGCTCGTCACCATCACTGTGGCAAGCCTTTGTTTACAAATGTTAATTTGCAGCCACTATAAATAAAGAGTGAGGAATAAAGTTGTGCTGACTTTGAAATTATCATAATCATGTGACTATCTATTAATAAGCCTTGTCCTGAACTTCCTAGCACTCATTATCCCCTCTCAAAACAGTGGCTGTGGAGGAGCCTGACCTTATACCCAAGGCCAGGTACATTAATTTTCCAATCACTTCGTGGTACAGTGCGTGAAGCTTGTCAAAGGTGCTAAGTATTGACTCGACATATATAGGGATATAGTTTTGTGGCTTTGATTCCTTTCAATTTGTATCCTCACAAGCCAGTGTATAGGTCCCAGGTCAGTAATTTCATACTCCATCTTCAGATCATCCTTGAACTGATGTATAGCTGATGTATAGCTGATTTGTTGTTAGCTGTGATTTCCATATGGTCCTCCTTGGCATTTTGGGTGTTCAATTTCAGTTGCCTTGGGATTCTTAGCACTGATGTGTTTTAATATGGGGTTCACAGTCTCAAATGTCTCATCCTCCCCTTTAAAAGACTCGTTAATGTTTGTTCTCATCCTTTAGCCTGGTTTTGAAGACAATGTTTTGCTTGACTGTTATAAAGTGTTTATCAGGCCAGAACATCTGGTAACCTTTGCTCTCTTTGTTGTAGCCAACAAAATAACCTTCTTTGGCTGGGGAATTGAGTTTCCCAGCATTGTCATCTTTGACAAATACACTCACACCAAATCCTTGTAGACCTGATAAGTTTGGTTTTTTTCCAGTAGCTAGTTTATGCAGTGTTTTCTTTGCAGGCTTGGGTGGATGACCAGTTTTTTTAACCAGTTGGTGTGAGAGTTATTGCATAGTGTTTGCCTGTAACATCCTTGACAGCAGCAGGTCCCCATAGGTCACTATGGATTCATTCTCCATATTCAGCCACAGAGGTGTATGATTCATGGGTAAAAGGCTTTCTGTCTGCTTTAGCCTTGGTACAAGTGTTACAGAAAGATAGTCTTGTTGACATGTCAAGTTTTATCCCCTCTATCATACCAGACTCTGCAAGTGCCTAGCAGGTTTGTGCAATATGTGACCTATGCCAGAAGGCAAAACTCCGGAATTCCAAAGAGTACTTTTCTCAAGTCTGAACCCCCTGAATCTTTGGTATCCTCGGGATTATGCTCCTTGTATCCTGCCAATTGGCATAACCCTATACCCCACCTCCACATGGTACTCTGGACATCCGCTCCAATACTCCTGCACCAGACTTCTAGTCTATCATACATTTTCATACACACATTTTCATACTCCTCATGGACTCTGGTTTAGACCTTATAGTACAATCCTCCCACATACAATTTTCCCTTGCTAGATAATTGTCCGCATGGAACTCTGTACCTACATTACAGGTTACTCCTTACTAGCTCCCAGTCCTCCAACAGTATATAAGTTGTAGCTCCTGTACTCTGTTCCTGCAGTTTGAATATCAGCTAGATTCCCTTGCCTTTACTCAAGTCCCTTTCTAAGTTTTCTGGTCCTTCTCTGAAGGACCTTTACTCTCCTCTACATTTCATCCTCTACTCTCATCCATATTCACTCTGACGAGTTAGGGATCAAGGTCCATGGAAGGGCCTAGTGCACGAGCTAAGTCAATCCCCAACCTTGTACTCCGTTCCACTCCCCATTCCATCTCCACACTCTGAACTCAGTTTTTCCAAAAAGTCATGGTTATGACACTGTTGCAGCAGTATGCAACCAGTTTGTACTTTCATCTCTGGTCCCATTGGACAACTGATAAAGACCATTTTTATAGGAATTATCCCAATAGTCTTTTGTTTTGGTTTGGGCAATAGAATATTACTTATTTGGTCTGTAATATGGATCATAAACCCGGCTTTATTGAGTTTATTGGCTGAAATAAGGATGGCTAATATCTCCGGTACGTGTAAAGCTGCTTTTAATTTTACTGACAATGTTTTTGTGCTATTAGGTAGTACCATCATGACACTGCCTTGGCCTATTGTCATCACTGGGGTATTTCCTGCCGTGCAAATTGGTTCTGGACTGATATTCTCATAGTCCGTCAACATCCAGTATGGACAGAGATGTGCACGGGAGTACAGTATATAGTCCTGTTGCCAGTTTTTCCTGTCTGATCATCGGGATAGGTTTTTTGGTGCAGGATACAGCAAAAGTGTATAATTCATCATCTGTGTCAGAACTGTGACCTTTGGAGTGATTGGAGTTTGGAGTACAGAGATGGGGTGGGGAGCAGAATGATCTGAGTTTGATTTGCCTTCATTAGGGCAGTCATGTTTTTTATGGCCCGGTTTTCCACATCCATGGCAGTTTCTTTTTTCCGCCTTTTTTTGCATAGCTTTGGCTGTCATGGCCGCTTAGTTTTTTGGTTTTGAAGCACTACAGTGTTTTGCTCCTTCCAGCACTGTATCTAGAATGTTGTCAACTGACAGTTTTGTTTTAGATATTCTGGCTGCAGAAGTAGCAGAGTTGAGGCAAGGGCAGTATGATTTGTGTAAAAAAATTATGATAATGGCCAAAAAGACATTGATCTGAGTAGTTCAGTGATGTGGGAAGTGATATTTTCATCCTTGTTGCATCTCAGATCATGTAACTTTTGTTGCATGTCATACTATCTCTCATATTACTTTTCTAACAATATATACAAGGTCCAGTATAGTGGCCATTATGTACAGTCTGACACTACACTCTTTTTGCCTATATACCAGGACCAATTTTCTGTGGGTTTGTAGCTCACTAGAAGAAAATGCTGAGCTGTTGACTTTTACTAACTGAACACTGCTGTCAGCCCTGTACTCCATTGAGGGAGTGAACATTCCCTCTAGATAATCTGAAAGTCCTTGAGCTTCCACCATGGACTCAAAACAATCTTTAAAGAGTACCCAGTTGGTACCTCTTTCATCTAGCTTTGGGATGCTAAGAGATGACCCTCCAGCTCCAGCAAAAGACATGTTGGTACTGTTTACAGAACTCATACCCTGTAGTAAATCTGTGCTACAGTAGAATAAAATATTGGGATAAAACTATCAGCTGTAAAACTACTCACCTCAGCCAAATGGTAATTAACTGAGATGGCAAGGACAAACAAGTCAAGTTTTTATGTACCCAGGATTTTCTGCTTGTGCGGGAAAATCGTTCCCAATCATGCTTTTAGGTGTGTGTTTGCCACACACCAAGTCTATCATTTCTGGTCAACTCCAACACCACCACCTCTCCACCATCACCACCTTTTCCTCTTTGCACTACTGCCGTTGCCTCCCCACCACCATTACTGCCCACATAGTATAGTAATAACCTTCTGTCTTGCATTATTACCTGATAATATTACTATATATATGGGGCCAGCGGAGTCCAGCAGAGTGTGCCAGCCGGGCCATGTTGTTAGTTTTGGTGATCCTGCACCTTTGTGCTACCTATATATTTTCATTCCTTTCTCTATCTATTCTTCTATCATTCACTATTGATTGTGTTCTCTATGATTTTGCCTTTGTGGCTGCTTTGTTTACCTTTGTTTACAAAACTTCGGACAGTACTGCAGAGTCCAATGCTTCCTATTCTCTAGTTACTCACATTGGACTCTAGGTATTGTATACCTATCATACTCTCTAATAATATAGTTACTCACATTGGACTCTAGTTCCAGTCCCTGATTGCTCTCAGCAAGTGGCTAGACACTTCCTTCAAGCTTTGTTCTTGATACATGTTAGATGTGATATTATTGTGCCTATCTTTGATGACCTGGCTGGGTGAGAGGGTGCCTGTAACAACCAAAGTTTGTATACTCTGGTGCACAACAAGACAGACAGAGAGTGGTGAGTAGTGGAGAGGATAATCTCCCTTAGGGTGGGACTGAGTTTGTTATGGGTAAATAACAGGAGGACTCGCTGAGGAGTCTCCTTGATCTATTGGGGTATTTATACTACTACAGACAATTTGTACATGTGTACTACACAGTTGATGAAGGCAGCAGCTGATAATGTCATAGGGCGCAGCCCATGTGACCAGCTCCACTGTGTGAGAGACTTGTAGCTAAGAATAAAGGAAAGCAGTGTAGCACAAGAAAGTGCCGCATGACACAGTGTTTAAAAACTATGAAAAAAAAGTTTAAGTGGAGAATGAGATTTTAAAGGTCCAAAAATTGTGTATAATAACAGTGCCCGTCTTAGACGACCCAGCTGGGTCACAGGGTGCCTGTCTTAGATGACCCAGGCTGGGTCACACCTATATCAAAGACTAAGGGCCCGGGCATCCCTAATATTGTGCTCCTGGGGTTTTTACAATTAGGTCTCCTGTATGGCACCCCAATATTGAAGATGTTTTTCCCGTTACAATTAGGTCTCTTGCATGGCACCCTAATATCAAAGATATTGTTTGTAAGAGTGGGTGCTGGGGAGAGATCTGAGGAGGGCCCCGGGGAGGGCATGGAGGAAGGACCCGAGGAGCATTCAGATGAGCCGGACCCCCCCGGGGATGGTGAATTGTCTGATAAGCCAGTTGACTCACTTAAAATTGCTGATGACATGTATATCAGACCTTTTAAGTACAAGTAAATGTATGAACGTACAATTCATGATTGTTGGGTCATATATGTGTTGTCGCATAAAGGACTTAACAGATATGTTGAGCCTCATGCACCACCGCTGCCAGCCACATTTGTGTAGGTGGCTGGGAAACACCTTCTATTTTGGATCTCAGACTTTTCCATAGCATAGAAAGTTTCACTTGACGCTTCATTGACACCTCAGTCCTCATATTAGAGACTGAGGTGAGTTCAAACAAATTTACATATATTCATACATTTTCTAAATCAATTACCTAGTATCCTTTTGTAACAGATATAAAACATCAATATGGTGGGTAACGTGATGTGTAATAAGGGTAAATCTGAAAAAAAAAGGATTTCAAGATGGTGGTGGAGTAATATTTGAAATGATGGGACATACCTGGGGATGGTTCATGGGCACTGGATTTGCACTGGGGAGTTGGCATTTGCAACATTTCTGGTGTTTAAATGTGAAAGATACATCACTTGCAATCACATGTATTGTTCTCAAAATTCTCATGGGCGCAATTTGTGGCACCAGATCCATGTATAACACGTCTGAACCCTTTTAACATCTCAGTCACTCAGACAATACTACCCTTCACCACACTTTCATCACATCCCTTTTTTTACCCCAGAAAAAATCTACAAAGCCAATGAGTGCATCAGGAAGGCCGTTATGGTTATGTACTGGCCCATGGTTCTTGTCCAAGGCAGGGACCAGTATGCGGAGATGCTGAGGGAGGAAGTAGTGAGTGGGACAGACATAATAAGGGAGGGAAACAACACCGGGCATGACTTCCACATCTCCTGGCTCTTTCTGAGTGCCATCACGCAGTTTGGCGGGGCGGAGAATGAGGGAAGGGCAGTGGATCCCTCTATAATCAGCCAGGAAGATGAGACAGTGGAGGAATCTGTTTTGTTTGATCCCGTGACACAGACTCCTGAGAGGAGGGAGACTCTGGACAATAGGTGGTGGTTGCAAAGTATGTTTCCTATTTTTTCATTTTTATTCAATTACTTACTGACTGTTTATTTTCACAGTGGTTCCACCTCATCCTCATCCTTTTTCCACCATTCCCATCAAACCAACATGTTCCAAAAGCCCCCTGGCACCCACCACTGGCAAAAGAAAGCACAACTTTGCTCACATGATAGTGGTTTTGTCAAAGAGGGCAAAGAGGGCAGCTCCATCCTGGTGCTTCACATCCCCACCCCCTGTTCCCAGGCCCTGAAGGCCATCTCACCCCCAGCACACCTGCCCATGCCCCGGGACATCAAGTGGTCAGCACCCGGACCCCATAGCACCTCCAACCAGCAAGGGAAAGGGAAAGGCAAGGGTGGTGGTAGGGATTACGAGGGGTGTAGAGGATCTGCAGAGAAAGAGTATGGAGGAGTGGTGCAAGTGGTGCAGGCTGGATAAGTCCACCTGCACCATCAGCAGGAGTAAGCAGATGAAAAAGTGGAGGACCTCCTGTGACAAGCGCAGCCGGGAGAAGTACAAGGGTGTGGGACAATGATGCAAGCCTAGGGAGCAAGTCCCAGAATCCAGTAGCCTCAGAGCCAGAAGCGCCAAGGGATCTGGTCACTGCTGCTGACCATCCCGTCAAGATTGGGCCACCCCAGGGAGCACGCAAGCTGGTTTACCAGCGCCATAGATAGCATCCAAAATATGGACGGTATAAAAGCCAAGCCTGGAAAAAAAGGAGAGGAGGGCAGATATGATGCTGTTATTGTAGCACATACTGATGAAGCAGAGGCAACAGGCTTGCAAGGTACGTCAAATGTCCCTCTACTGCTTTTTTGCTTACTATGTCACTATAGGGATGAAGGTTGGGAGATTGAGGGTCATATTCTCACTCCCAGATATCCTTTATTCTTACAACATTGCACCTCATCCATGGCCCAAAGGCCCTTTGGCTTACGTGGAGTGGTACAAAATATCAAGCCAGTCCCTCAGGCAAATGGTGTTGCATCTGGTGCTATTATTCTACTGGGGAACATACATCAAAGTTGTCATCTGGTTCCTCTTACTGGACCTCGAATTGTTTGGCCATCTACTTGAAGGATAGATAATGTACTGGATGTTTGTGGATCATTTTTACTTAAAAATTAGGCTAGTAAATTTGCATACCAAACAATATGGTAGTATAGAGATTATTTGTCATAGTATAGTAACTTGAAGTTCATTATCTTATTATTGACAACTTTGAACTGATCTGATTGGCTTTAATTGCAATAAAAGTACTCTACATGTAACAGTAGTGGCATTTATATCAATCTATAGCACACTATTTGCCCCAAATGCTATATTTGGTCTATTACCCAATCATACCAAACTATATCCAATTATAGTAAAATCATGTTTTCCTGATGATGGGCCTTATGGGGCTATGTCCACAGCATGATTTCATTGGAGATTCATCAAGGCAATGGAACTCAAAACCTGTTGAGGTGGCTCTGCATGCAGCTTTATCTACATTGCCCGGGGTCCCGGAACGGCCACACAGGTATCAGGGGCCATACAGCTATATGGAACAACCAGGACAATTCACAATCAGGGTCCCCCCACCTTCACAAGCAGTGATCCCGGCTCCTGCTCACCACACTCCCCCACCTGCTGCACGCCCTTCACCCCCTCTTCCCCCTCCACAGGTGCAAGCCACATCCCAGGAGTCAAGGAGGCCTCCCTGGGTGTCCCATAGAGAACCCAGGGGAGATGGATGTGAATGCAATGCATCCTGGCCCTGAGTAGATCACCAGGATGAGGGAGACCATCCCTCTCCTTCCAGGGAGGTTTTGGATGCCGTGGCAAGGCTGCCATTGCCATTGCCATCCCCCAGCCCCCTTCCAATTTGTACCCAGGAGGCTGTTGACACCCCCCTGGACATCACGCTCCCTCGCTCCAACACTCCCTTTGACTTCTCGTGCCCACCTTTCCGTCCCACCCCAATTTCTCCTGCCGGCTCTCACAACCCATTCAGGTGGGAAGAAATGCCTTTGGACAATCCCGGAACCCCTTGTCTGTCCCCAGAGCCTCCTCCTTACTGGCCTTTTGAGGCCCAACAAGGGGATTTGCCTCAGCCACTGAGGCCTCATACACCCCCAGGAGGTGAGGTTCCTATTGCTGTCACTCCTCAAAGTGATGGCCGCAACCTCATAGACTTCAGTTTTACATCCCTGGTTCCCAGCCACGTACAATAGTTGTCCCCGGCACAGTAGTGGAGTCTGCCTCCTTCTTTGGAAAAAAGGGTAGCAAGGATGGAACAAAGGCAGGAGATCATTTGGGATCTCTATAAGAGGATTAGCCAGCTGGAGGATGAGGTAGCAAGGTTAAAAGCAAAGGAGAGGGAGTACAATCAGAAGAAATCATAGTTCAATGGACTTGTAATATAAATTTCATTTTTTCTTTCGTTTTTTTCAACTAGATTTCATTTGCATATACTTAGTTTCTCCTTACTCACCACTCAATGTACATTTAATTACTTGATCCATATAAATTTGTGCTACCTACATTGTAATCTCAGTGTGATAATGTGTGATGTGATTTTGCTGCATGTGGTACAAGGGTGGGTAGAAAGTAAACTATGTAGTAAGCAAAGAAATAATTTGGCACTGGGGGGATTAGAATGAGCAGGTAGTGGCAGGGTGGTTTTGCCCTTACAAAGGGGCTTATTAGGGGGCTTAACTGCTACCCCAACCACCCAACATAAGTGTGACCAACTACCCTCTTTTGATACAGCTGTCTATTAGAGTCCGGACTCAATGTCATGACCGATATACTGAGGGTACATTATCCTTTTTTGGGTTATGGCTGTGCGTCCTACAACTAGTCAGCCAAGAATGGGGCTCTCTCCCATGCCAGGACTTTCTTCATTGGGCACTCTGTACATAGTTCTATCACATGACGCGGTGCACATGACTAGGATCCCTTTGGTGCTGTGGGACAGTAGCTTTTCTCCTAAGATAGGAGTGATGTCCGTACTTCTGTTGCTGACAAAGTCATAGATAAGAAACAAATCTGAGAACTCTACCCCGGGACCCATCAACATGGCCTGGGACCTATCTATCTTCAACACATTGATAAGCTACCTGTAAGTGATGCTCAGTAACATGGGAACATTGCTCGGGAACGGTCTATAGCCAAGTGTCCTATGATCTGTTCAGCCTGGGTTGTAAGATCATCTAACCCAGGATAACTACAACACTCACATCCCTGGGTACATATTTTAAACCCAGGGCCATTACATACATCTATTACATTACTGTACAAAAGGTCTACCTACTAATCAACGCCTCCTGGGTTTCTTTACCTTTAGCGTCTGATCTACCTTAGTATCCTTGGCTTGTTGAAGCTGCTTTACTGGACTATTATCTGACCTTGTTCTGTGTGCAATATTCCCGGGTTCCCCATCCATCTCCTCATGCCCATGTTTGGTGGGACTCTGCATCACCCTTGTCACCATCCTAGGTAGAGGCCTTGCCTTGTCAGGGAAGGCGGATTCCAAGCTGTTTTGTATTGCAGTGGTCATGTCCCTGCAGAATGGGAGGATAGTTTTGCCCACCATGGCAAACTCAATGTATGACCACGTCAGGTTGTTGTCCTCATCAGCAAATTGGATTGTATGAAGGTCCTGGAGCAGCATTCCTACTGCCAAATATTTAGTTGATCAAATGGAAGCTGGGCCAAGGCTACTTGAATTCTAGGGATTGTGTTCCCTCTGTCCATGCATTTGTTAAGGAAAGTATGTAGGTGATATGAGAAAAATGGACATTGATGACTTGTTTGAATGCTGTTCAGTTTTTGGCCAGGGGAATGTGGAAATTTAGCCAGGAAAATAGATAAGGGTTTGGACGGAGGCAATGAACTGGCCACCACCGACAATCACAACACAGAAATGTTTGAAAGGTTCCACATAGATTTTGCCAAGGAAGGCTGGAGGGCATCAAATTTCCATAATAGAGTTCCTCAGATGACTCAGTGGCTTAGTAGGCAGGAGAAAGTAACTATGTTTGAAAGCTACCTGAACAACTACAACAGAGAAGAAGAGAAGCAGGCAAAGCTGGAAAGAGGTATAGAGCCGAAATTTCTAATACATTCAGCATAGTGTAGCATGGAGTGAAACTTGGGAATGTTGAGACATTCTCATACCCCAAGATGAACAAAAATGTGCTTGTTGGCATGATAAAGATCCAAGAAATCTTCCAGGTATTGATTGGTGGTATTGTCATGGCTTGCATATTGTGCAATGTAGATAAAGTCAAGAAGTGCCCTATAACAAGTTATGACCTGGGAGGGGACCTTCCCTATAATGAACCCCAGTAACGTCCTCACCATATTTTTTCTCTCTGACCCAGATATCTGGGATAACTGTGACCAACCATGCTTGAAATACTGTACACCAAAGCAAGGTGGGAGTCTATGAATGCAATCATCCAGCTCTTTGTTGGTCATCAAGCTAGAGCACCAGTGAATCAGATGTTTTACAACACCTGGGTAGAGTTGATGGAGTATATTAGGGGTTATGGCCATGTGGATGTTGTAATGAGGAAACCCCTCCCAGAAAGGATGACGGACACCCCCAGACACATTTTGAGCTTCACATATCTCCTGGAAATTGCTGATAAAGGTTGCATCAGCTTTGTCTGTTGATATAACCTCAGCAGTCTTCTTCTGGGTCCTCCATCTCCCTGGACGTCTTTCTCCCATGGTATTTTCAGAGGCATCACATTTAGGACAGGCCCCATGTTTTGCACAGGTGACAAGACATTGTTCTGGATAATTAGCTACGTAGCAGGCTAGGATGGGATGGATCCTCCTAACTTCCATCTCCCTGTGTGACTTCCATTCCATGCTTGCCAGGCTCTATCAGAGGCTCTAAGACTATGTGTATTGAGTCATAAAAGAGTTGTTGAATATGTGCTGACTTTTGCTTTTTGGATAGATCATCTCCTACATGTTTGCTAACAGAAAAATAGGCAATGAGAATACAGGCGTGTTTGGAAGGTTTACGGAGCATAGATCTGGGCAAATTTCCCAGAGTTAGATACACCAGATAAGCAGACTTGTTGCCAGAGAACTGGGTGAGTTGTGTCTTATCTGTGGCTATGATAACAGGGGCTACACAGGCACCTTCAGGTAAGCAATTCTAGGTGGGAATATTATCATCAAATATCTGAAATGACACATTTAGATTTATACCACCTGCCTATACTGTGTTCCACCAATCTCCAGTCCACATCTCATTGTAAATCCTGTGAGATTTTGAAGCATTGGTGAAGATGCACTTGGGCCTGTAGACAATATCCTTGGCATGAGCTGGATGTCCTAGCAAGGACTTGATAGCCTCAATAGAATCACAATGATAAACCACATGCTTATGCTTGGGACTATTCCTGAACCACAGTTCTCTAGTTTTCCAAGTAGCATGTTCTGGAACACAATTGACCAGCTTATGGAGCCCATATATATTATGGTAGGATAGACCTACAGTGACTCCAAAAACCGTTGCAATGTTTGGCCTAAACGCAGTGCGCAAAGTGCACCGCCAACAGGCGTAGGAACTTTGCTCAGCTTTGGTGGGGTCAACAAAAGTACTTGGTCTTAACTACAAAATGGTTCCTAGGTCATGTGATTTGGCCCAGCAGCTATGAAGATATGTTCATTTCAAAGCAGCAATACTATTGCAACAGTTTTTTCACTTTTGAGTTGGAAGCAGAGATACAATGATATGATAGATTATCTGACTTTTTTTGGTCCCACAAACAAAAATACATGTATAGATGTTGTTCCTGAGTTTAAAAAAGTTCACACACTTCTTTATTCTCAACCACCACCATCATGAAATCCCTCTCTCCTGCTCAAAAGAACCGAATTCTTAACCTCCTTGATGCAGGTCAAACTGCTCACTTTACTGCCTCTATCACTGGTGTCCATGTCTCTACCATCTCTAAACTTCTCTCCAAGGAGTATTCTGAGCTCCAACAGTCTGTTGGAGGTTGTCCAGCTAAGCTTTCTCCTGCCAATGTCCGCCATTCCATGCATCTCATCTCCACTCGCAAGGCAGAAAATGCTGTCTAGATCACCAAAGCTCTTACCAACATCATCAACCAACCTCTCTCCCCAAACACTGTCTGCCAGCACTTGAAAAAGACTGGCATGAAGGCTGTGGCCAAGCGGGAACACCCTCTTCTCTCTGCCAAGCATTGTAAAACTAGGTTGGAATTTGCTCATGCTCACAAGGACTGGACTGTGGAGAATTGGAAGAAGATTGTATGGTCTGATGAGACCAAAATCAATCACCTGGGGTCAGATGGACACAAGTGGGTGTGGAAAAAGCCAGGTGAGGGGCTCAGTGATAGATTGGTACAGAGAACTCTCAAGTTTGGAGGATGTTCCATGATGATCTGGGGCTGTATGACTTGGGAGGGAGTTGGGTATGCTGCTAAAATTGATTGTAGGATGGATGAAGACCTTTACCTTCAGATTTTGAAGGATGAGCTGCTAAACACCCTGCAGTATGATGGTCTCAATCCTCCTGACATCATTTTTCAGCAAAACAATGACCCCAAGTATACCTGCAAAAAGGTCAAGGAGTGGCTAGATGAGCAAGAATTTAGAACTATGGTGTGGCTTACACAGTCTCCTGACCTTAATCCTATTGAAAATGGGTGGGGTTGTCTCAAGAGGAGGCTTGCAGAGTATAAACACCCTCCCAATGGGATGGAGGAGTTGTGGGAGAGGATTTAAGTGGAGTGGGAGAAAATAGCAGTTGCAGAGTGTCGTAACTTAAATGAAAGCATGCCTAGGAGGATTCAAGCAGTGCTCAAGGCAAAAGGAGGCTATACCAACTACTGATATTCCCTAGATATCTCCCTTAATACCAAAAGTGAAAAAACTGTTGCAATGATATTGCTGTTTTGAAATGGAAATATCTTCACAACCGCTGGGCCAAATCACATGACCTAGGAACCAATCTTGTAGCCAAGACCAAGTACTTTTGTCGACCCCACCAAAGCTGAGCAAAATTCCTACACCTGTTGGCGGTGCCTTTTGCACACTGCATTTAGGCCAAACATTGCAACGGTTTTTGGAGTCACTGTAATTTATCTGCCACCTTGGTTGAAATAGATAAATCAGTATATGGCCTATTCCATCCTGTACAGCCTAGCAAGAAACCCTCCAGTCTAGCTCTGATGCAAAGGGTGCAAAAATGTTCCTTGATCTATCTGACATATTTGAATCCATATCCATATCACCATCTATATCCTCAGCTCCAAATTCTCTCCTCCATCTTTCATATACCATTTTATCCATCCTAATCACCTTGCCTGCAGTAGGGTGGGGTACCTCAATACACTCCTCATCATCTTCATCAGGAAGCTTTGAGGGTCCAGCCATATTCTCCTCAGATTCTGTGGGAATAAAGTCATAGAGATGATCATAGTAGTTATCCACCACATCTTCTGGGTCTTCATCCATAGGTCTAAGTTCATCAGGTAACATATTAGGTACTTCCCTTGTCTTTGAATTATTGCCCCTATCAAGTTCTCCTGGAATTGTCAAACTTTGTAGCTTCCCTTTGTTATACCACTTGCAGCTTCTTGCTCATGACAGATGGTGTTACAATAACACAATAACACAATTTTCAGACCTTTAAATTTCATTCTCCTCTTCAACTTTCTTTTGTAGTTTTCACACCCTGTGCCATGTGGCACTTTCTATTATTGTTCAAACTCCACTTCTCACGCTGTGCTGCTTTTTTCTTATTTTTAGATACAAGTATCTCATGCAGTGGAGCTGGTCACACGGGCTGTGCCCCATGACATCATCAGCCACTGCCTCCATCAACTGTACAGTATACATGTACAAACAACCTGTAGTAGTATATATACCCCAATAGATCAAGGAGACTCCTCAGCGAGTTCTCCTGTTGTTTACCCACAACTAACTTGGTCCTATCATAAGGGGTAACTGACAAAACCGGATAAACCCGGTCTTTGCCAAAGCAGCCATTGTTCTCCATGGAGCATAGCCACCACTCCATGGAGTAACCATTGTTCTCCTAGGAGTCATTATACTGTAGCAAGTAGCACCTCCGACTATAAGTAGTAGGGGGTTTAGTATAGGAATACCTCAGTCGTTTTTATAGCCTCTCAGGCAGCAGCTGAGGTATATTACATTACATTTATTAGAGATCACCTTAAACTAACATCTATTGTAGTTTCACTTAGGTAAATAATAAAGTCGTTTCTATAGCCTCTCAGGCAGCGGCTGAGTTTCACTCAGTTTTATTAGTAACCACTCCCACTCACTTCACTATAGCCTGTTTGAGTTGTGTGCCAGAGTATACAAACTCCTGGTTGTTACAGATGGGATATCAGGCCCTGGGGAGCTTCAAGCTTTTTGTGACAAGCAAGACAGATTGTAGGATCCTCCTCTGCAGACTGGGCAGATGTGAGCTCAACTTGAAGATTTAAAGCCTGAAGTACTGATTGTAGGCCAACCAAAATGAGATGCTAGATGTAGAGAGGGATATAAAAGCAGTAGAGGTGCCTACTTGTGGATCAGATGGATGGGTGTTTGTGACAAGCACAATAATGGCAAAGGTTAGTGAGCCAAAATACAACAGTCTGAATACATATCAATGAACCTAAAGATTACATGTAAAGCTACAGACTACACTGTGATTGATAGCAATACATTCTATAGGCACAGTTCAGGATTTGTTCATAATTGTAAAATAAAAGACAAAAAAAAGTACCTCCTTTTACTTTTTTTTGCTTGCTACGGGTGCGTGGTGATCTCAGGTGCTTGCTAACAGGCCCCTCCCCTTCATTTCTATCTGAAGTGCATTTAGTTCTACTTGAAGGCTTGCTGGGCCCAGATATGGGTGGGTCTGGGGGACTGTGATGGTTGACAGGCAAAGACAAGAGAGATGGTTTCTTCACGTCTTGGAGCTGCAACTGGTAACTCTCTCTTCCAGAAGTGATAACCTCCACAGACACTCCCACCCTATCAAACTCAGGCTCAATACCATTCCTCATATCTTTCACAATATCCACCATCTCCTGGTGTGAAATATGCTTGGGGGGAGGACTATAAAGCATGTTTCAATCACCACTAAATGTTTCACTTCACATGAATGCACTGAAAAGCTTGACCATCCCTGCCCTGACAGACACATGCCTGCAGAAATAAGGGTTGATGCATGCCATAAAGTGTAGGCGTGAGAGTATAACATTTTCCATTGCTACTGTGTTGGGGTCAAGCGTGTGGCACCCCCATTTGACCCAGACAGGAATATTGTCTTGTTTGCTGTGGGAAGAAAGTTGCGACTGATGAGATGGGATAGATGCCTCCCTTAGTACTGTTTCTAGGGAGATCCTCTTGGTAATCAGAGGTACTGTGATGCTGATGAGACAATGACTTTGGAGGCTCCTGAGATGCTGAGAGCTTTGAGAACGCAATTTCCTTCCCTTTCTGCTTCTGAGATACTGAGCGCTTTAATGATGCAGGTGCTTTGTCAACATCTGCTGCAGCAGTTTCCTTCTCTTTCTCAACCCAGTCAATTGGCTGACAGTAGAGACCTTCACAGTCAATCATGATCAACCATAGCATCCAGAAAACGGACTCCAAGTTGTGGATGTAATTGTGTGGTACTTCAGGCTGTAAAATCCTCCCTATAGCTTGGTAAGGATAAGTCCACTACATTTGGGACATATCAGTAAAGATTCTAATATAATTGGTTTTTAAATACTCACTGTAAAAGATTTTGTGGTCCTAACCATGTCTCCATATTGAACATCTTCAGCCATTGCCCAATCTTCTAAGGCACCAGGACACTGTGGATACCAGTCATTACTGATGTTGATGGGCCAATCTGGGAAAGCAAAATGGGGAAAAGCAGCCTTGACTCGAAGCCATGAATTTTCATTGCTAACATCACAACGAATGAGGACATATCTCATATAAGCAGCCAGATATTAACAAGTGATACGATGAACATAAATAATCCTTGGTTTACCAAGTAAAACACCAATGATCCCATCCAGCATTTCACATACACAGGAAACCACACAAGTTCTACCCCAACTGTTTTCATGGCAATGATGTGCACGGTCCTCCAAGGCACAAGGCAGCCAACTCTGCGAACTCTAAAATTCCAGCAACACTCATAATGACTTTGGTTGTGTCCTGAATAAGTGTCTCCGGATGTGTGATAGATGGCACAAGGGTTGAGGATGGTGGAAGACAATGGTCTCATATTGGAATTCCAGACAAGAAGTGTGTGTCATCCCAACCAGTGTTTGCCCTATCATATAAGGCATCCACGTCTGGGTGTCCAGCTAATATGATGTTGTCAAAAGATGCAGGAGGGTGAAACAATGGATGCCACAGTCTCCTTTGACAGGCTGTCAGAAAGCCTGGTATCTTGGGCAAGGATCCATTCTTGCATGGTCTGGGATGATGAGTAAGTTGGCTGTGGTGTATTTGACTGAGCGTGAGCGTGAGCATGCCATGTCACAGTATCAATAGCATGAGAATCTAGCTCACTGGAAAACACCTCAAGGAATTGGCCACCTTTTTTCCATTGTTTCAAAAGGTAGGATACATCTAGGACTTTGTGTGGTTTCTGGAGCTGCTCGGAAAGGAACATGTAAAGATAATCCTTTAAGTCGTAATAATAACCATTTTTTTTGTGATGATCAACAAAATTATAGATCATGTTTGAATTGGCCTACAGTGGCATAAGTGGCAACTTGAATATGTGGTCAAAATCCATGACTTACAAGTCCGAACAGCTATGCAAGTGCCAAAAAGCTAGCTCACACCTCAAACCTCAAAAATGGCCAGTCTCACCAATGTCACCATCAGCTTGTCCCAGCACAAACTCGGCATTGTACTCCACTGTCTGAGAAGTGCCAGCAGCCATTAGCAATACGCTGAAGAAGAGACTGCAGTGCACCTTTCACAGATTATCACCAGGCTGCAACATGCATTGACAACCATCACCTCGTCTTCCCCCATCTCCTACTAACCCTCCTATCAGCACAATTTGTCAGAACTTGATAGCCAGGTCCAGGCAGATCAAACCGGCAGCTGTTTAAAGATTGCCTTAAAAAGAGCACGGGATGATTTGCGGTATCACCCGTACCCTGCAGCTGGAGCGTGTCCTAGAAACGGAGTGCTGTTAGTTGCTGGGGAAAGATGGAGACTTGGGGAAAATACATATACTTCCCTGGCTTTATCTGACTCTATCATTACCTCATTCTCCACTGCTCACTTCCAGTCCATCTCCCAAAACCCAGCAACCTGGGTCCAGCAAATACAGTCATCCTTGGTTGCCAACAAAGTTATGTGGAACGGCGCTTCTCTTGAGTCCACAATCAATATGTGCATCTGTTTGACTGGCCATGAGGTTGGGGTGTCTTTCATGTTGATGTTGAGTAGGATCCATCTGTTTGTAATATTGCATAGGTGAGCTCTTCATTGATTCTGTATTAACATCTAAATACCTTGTTTTATAGCTTGGTCAGCCCTGCTGGTTCTTTTGGCAACATCAAAAGCATCTATAGGACTAGGGTGCAGCCTATCCCAAGATGCCCCCAGTGGGCAAACATTCTACCAGTGGGTAGAGGCTGGCTGGAAGTACCTGCAACTAGCTGCAGGTGGGTCAGTGTACCTGTTAGTGCTTGTTGCCAGGTTGGATCTTCGGTGGGCACTGAACAGGGTTAATGTGATTGTGCCTTGGGAAGTTGGGAAGCTTCTCAGGTGTCCAACAAGTGAGGATGAGTTTTTGTTACTCCCCTCAGGTTATACTCACTGTTCTCCCCATTTTGTAGGCCCTGGATTGCTCATGCGCAACCAGATCATCCTCACTATTACTCACTTGCGCACACTGCTGCCGCTCTCATTTTCCACACTTCCTACTCAAATTATCCTTCAATTGCACGTCCTTGAAGGATTCTGACAGACTCTTTGACAGTGTCCATCTCAAGTAAGTCATTTTTTGTCATTATCTCATGTTGCTCATGTTTTTTCTCAGCAATTTTCAACAAGACACTTGTGATTGCCATGGAAGGAGGCACTCAGACCATGCCTAGAAGATCCCCTCAATGTCAGCATCTCTCCTTCAGCCTTTACCCCTCAGCATAACACCAACAACAATGATGCCAGGGTTGACTATACTGCCCTACCAATCTCCTATACAATTTTGACATAGCACCAATTGTAGTGACTGTGCTTTAGTTGGCTTTATTTGCTATAAAACTACACTATTTATCATTCAGACCAATATAGTATACTATAGCACAGTATTATTTGTGATTTAGAGCAATTTAGTATGCTATAGTTTGCTATGTATAATACCATACTATTTAGTACTTAGAGCCACATAGTGTGCTATAGTATACTATAGAGCAACTAATTTCTACTAATTGTACTAATGGATATGAACTAATATGACAAATATATTTGCTATAATAACAGAACATACAAAGTAGTGCACACTTTTTAGCACTTATAGCCAAACCATGTTTTCTTGATGTAGGCTAATGGGGCAAGCATCTTTGGCCTCTCTTGCTCAGCGTTTTAGCTGAAGATGGGACCAAATGCCAGCTAGCAATACAGTAAGTCTCTCCAATTGTCAACTGGTTACAACTGACATGACCCCATTTTTTGAGTATGCGGAACATTTTGCATTGGCAAAATCTCAAGCATTTCACAAACATTACTACAGTTGAGTATGCAGATAACCAGGTCTTCCTTGATATACTCAAGGTACATGCTTCTCACTGTTATCATCTCTTTACAGCGTGTTGATACATTATAATATAGTATATACTTTCCTATGTTGTGTAACTATTGCCTGAAGATTGCTCACTTATGCACTATATCTGGGCATACACTCGATATTGGACGATGATAGGCATGATATGTTTGACAGACAAGTGGCTCCAAAAGATAGACAAGATAATATTGGCTCACAAAAATGCTTGCAAGGTAAATATCCTTACCTTTGTGTTACCAACAGATTTCTTGACTCCCCTTCACTCTTCCTCTTCTCATTGCGTAACATGGGTCAGACCCCTTCATCAGCTTCCAACCCTAATGTTAGTTTGTCTCCCAACTATGCCAATTCATCCCCCATCGTTGGTGCAAGCTCTCCTCAGTTTTCTCATCCTGCAAGTAGTTCAAATGGTGAACGTTTCTCAACCGCTTCACTAGGTAAGAGTACTACTTTGTGTCTTCCCTTCTCTATTGCTTATAATCCCCTTCTTTTTGTCATTGTTTACTCTTTTGGTTGTTGTGGTTGTCTGTAGACCTTTTTCTGCCAATTAGAGAAAATGATACTGCTGATGATGATGGAAAGGCTGCAGCGACTTATGTATCCACTTATTGCTTGCAACACTCTTTCAAATTTATGGGTGTATACCACAATGAAAATTTCAGAGAGGTAGACCTTTGGCCTATGGGTTCTATCCTCGTTGCTTCCTTTCGAGACGTCTCTCAGCTTCTTGACAATTTTCAACATTTGACAACAGCCAACTTAAGTGATATTACATGTGCTTATGGTGTTCATGTTGAAACATCTTCTCACGCATCAATGTAATCACTGTTGTGCTCACTTGACCAAATTTATCTTTCACAATTTGAAATGCAATCATCGGGGAGCAGACTGTTGCCAAGCACCTGACTTTCAAGCCAATGTTGAGACCCAGTCCTCCCGTACAAGAAATAATCATGTGGAACACTTGAGACAGTCTGCAGCGACTCAATTGCATGCTCAGGAACAACAAACAACCAATCATCCTTCCCCTGTCTTTCCCTACTTTTCCACAACTGCTGATTGCTCAAACATCATTAAGGAGTGGGATTCATTGTTGTCAACCATTGTTCACAATCAATGTCCATGTGCTATGTGTGGTCAAAGTAAACTGTTTGAGAAAGTGGAGCTTATTGATCCCGCATCCTTTGATCTCAAGTTGCTGTGTAATCAATTTCTGCCTCTCCATACCCATCAGGAAAAATGGGGGTAGCTATATAGAGCTCTATAGCACTATAAGTACTCATAAAGCTGTTATAGTGGTCAAACCTTTTATAGAACCTCTGCCATCTATAGAGCCTCATATAGCTCAATGCTCTTATAGATGTTGGAAATTGTTGTGTGGCTGATAAAAAAAAATTAACACAAACAGGATTTGAACTCTCAACCTACTATAGCAAAAGGGTTTTTCCTGATGCCCTTCCAACTTCGTACGATCTGGATGTGTACCAAGGTGCTATTTTGTATGATAAAGGATTGGAAAACACTCATTAGTTAGCTGGCATTCTTATGTGTCCAACATGTAAGCACTCCCTCGTTGATCGGGGTAAACAAACCCTTGATTCTTGGGCTAACTTTCAGTATTATAGCCATGATGTTTTGCCAAACAATGTTCAAGAGGCAGCCTATGAAAGTTCTATCATGGATCTTATGATAATTGCCCAAGCACGCTCCACTCAGCTGTCCTATCTTTTTCTGCAAAGGAAAATAATCGGGGAGATTCTTCCACTTCTCAGACATATATTAAAGGAAATGTTGCAATCTTGCCTCAAAATACACTAAAAGTCCAACAGCTTCTTCCACCTTTTCATGCTGAAATTGAAGAAAGTGTATGTGCTCTTTTTATTGGTGCGGACACCCTTGCTATCCATTTTCACTTACTGTATATCAGAACCAAAAAGGTTTTGCTTGTTAGAGATATGTATAGCCACTGTAAAACCTATCCAATATACCGGTTGGCAACAAAGCTATATAATAGATTGGAAAATATGGTGTTACTATGATTCCACCTGTATAATCTACATGAAGCTGTGAGTTGGCTTATAGTATACAAATATGAGCTGTTGATGTAATGACTGCACCAAGTATTATGGTTCAAATGTAAAAATCAAACCTGTCAATATAAGGTTATCTAAGCTTAAGCGTCACCACACTCAAATCCGTCGCATGCAGGATATCTTGCCATGAGGGGAAACTGGACATCCGCACCACATAGCATTCTCAGAGAACAATCCTCTGCCATTCACTACAACCAATAAACACCATCATATTACCATCTCGCAGAATTTTCCACTTGATCTCTTTAAATTCATCAGCCAACACCTCCTTGTATTTTTAAATGATCCAGCAGTCTAAGTGAGTAAAATATGCCTCATCTGTTCTCATTTTTTGTCTTATACTCTTCCCAAATAGTCTTTCGTACCAAGACTAAAGGACCATCTTCTTTCTCGGATCTTGCAGTGTACGTATAATGGTGATGAGTATATCTACACAGACAATGATTGGAATAATGTACGTATTCTCAACAATCAGATTTATTGAGGCAAGGTCTTGTGCATCAACTATACTACATATAACATGCATCAAGAGCATGATTTGGTGAATCCAAGAACTCAATGCAATGTCATGGTTTTTTCCAGGGAAATGAAGCGGGGTGGACACTCTTATTGGTACGCCTGTGTTCTTGGAGTGTTTCATACACAGGTTCTCCACGTGTCCTTGGGTTCCAAGGACAATTGTCCACAATGCATGGAGTTTCTATGGGTCCGCTCGTTAGGCCTGGACTTGGAGCATCGCTACGGCTCCAAGGTAGCTTCTTTACCTAAAGTAGGATTCGTCCCACAGGAGGAAATAGGAGCCTTTGGTTTCCTTAATCCATTGCTTGTTGTTTGAGCCTGTCACTTAATCCCAGCCTTTGCCGATGGTCGTTCCACATACTTACTTCGAGAGGGCCCTTCAGCAGGACGATTTGCCGGGGAGAGCAATGATTGGGCCGCATTTTATGTAAATATGTGAGTTTTGATTCACATTTGATATTGGCGCTGCTCTGTCACACATCTTCATTCCAGTTTTGTCAATCGGGATATGTTTGTGAGATACACGCACCAGGGAGTCAGTCATCAAAACCTCCAGGTTGGAAATGTCAATATGAGAGACAATAATGCATTGGCAGTGGACGAAGGACCTGAGGATCTTGATTTGGATTTGTCCCCAAACCAAGGCCAGGCCATTGATCAAGTCCAACATTTAGTAGAGGATGGACAAGTTGAGGACCAAGATTACAATCAGATAGATCAGACTCAGTACAAAGAAGTTATTGAGGACAATGACAGCGACATAATGGAACATTCACACTCAGACAATGAAGAAGAGTTTGAATTTGAAGTTGAAGTTGGAAATCCTGATTGTGAACTCCAGGAGGAAGGGGAATGCACCTGTGATTCAGTTGTAGAAGAGGACAGCTACTATGCTTTGTTATAGACATACATAACAGTGTATACATTTTCATAAAGGTGCATATACCTTCCGCTCACGTAGATGATCTTATTTATCAGCTCACTATTCTTGCAATCTCAGTGTATTCATTCTGGTTGGATAGCTACATTCTGTTCTTACAATCAAACTTTGATACAGCGTTTTCTACAGCCAGGGTGCACGGTGTCACAGCTACTTTATCCAGGTACGAGAAGATTGTGAGTGCACATGTATAGTCTGTGTCATGCTGATATAGTTTTAATTTCTGTGTATGTGTGCACACACAGCCTCTGACATTCTCTGTTGTGCGTCCAGAGCCAGTAAATGATTTAGTATGTGGCGGTACAGTCATGTCAAGGGCTTCTGGCAATCAGCTGCATTTCCGACATTGCCATCCCAATTGTGGCGGTACAGGTAAAGTGAAGCTATGGTTCGTGTTCCGACTCTGTTCTGTTCTTGACCAAAACTGATATATCTGACTCTTTTCCAGATTCACTCAATTCAAAACCTTTACTCAGCGGAATCATGTCTTCACGAGTTCAAAAGAACAAACAGCGCCCTGGCCATCTCATAGCTCTGCGCTCGTCCAGACTTGTTCTCTTACCTCGGTCTTTTTGTGCTGATATCTCCCATGTCTATCAGGTGCTTAGTGTGGCTCGGAAACTTATTTCCCACAAGTATTATCTGCAAGCATTTTATAGAGCCTTTTCTAGGCTTGTCATGGGGCGCTGCAGTCGCAGGTTAAGAACACAAGAGGCTTGGTTTTTAAAGAAGAGAGTACAGCAGAAGAGGCTGATGTGGGATATAATCTTCAATTTGAAACAGGCCAGGCGCTGTGTTCTCGAGCTTTATAAAGAGCTCCTTGAGTGTACTTCTTATATGGCAGAGTATCAAAGGAGTTGTGTTAGTACTTTGTTGACAAGGTATGCAAATATCTTTCTTAACATTCCTTTTATTGATGCTATAACAGTGAGTAACAGCAGAGAATGTTGCATACTTGTCCTCTGTGTTCCATGTCTTTGTTGACCAACGGGTAATACTTATACATTGCATACTACCATATCCGAAATGTAATATTTGTGTCACTCACTGTGAATAGAACGTGATGTGATATGAAACTTTGAATCTCAGAAGGACGCAACAAAAAGGGGAACTCAATGCTCAGTACTGATCAGATGGGAGCAGATAACTCACATGTTTGCTTCAGACTGTACAGCAAGGGAAGGTGACTGAATTCCACTGTTATCAATAGGTTACACAGCTCGAAAACGCAGTATAAATACAGACTAGAAATATTAAGAAGATGCTATAGTACTATCAGTAAAATAATTCTAGTGAAATGTAGCTATGACATACCTCAGTCAATCATAGGATGACTGAGGTAAAACTAGTATAAGGATAGAAACAAAGTGTTGCGAGATTTTCTAAGTCCGAAATCAAATAAGGAAGGTATTTCTTGCACGTCAAATAAACGCGCCACAGCTATCAACAAGCTCTTTCTAATCAATGATGGCAAGTGCATAGTGTAGGCTCAACTTTGTTTTTCCCAGTCCAACAGAGGAGACAAATAGAAAGGAAGCTAAAGCAAGAGCAGAGTGTGAGGAACAGAGACGGAGAAGGCTTGTGAGATGGCTGCCTTGATGCAGAAACTAGAGAATATTACCAAGGAAAATGAGGTAAGTTTGCAGCCTAGTTGGTTGGAGCACTGCTATATATAGGCAAAAGTCCTACTACTTATAGTCGGAGGTGCTATCCACTAAGGTATAATGACTCCTGGGAGTGCAATTGTGCTCCTAGGAGAACAATGGTGACTCCATGGAGTGGTGGCCGTGCTCCATGGAAAATAATGGCTGTTTTAGCAGAGACTGAGTTTATCTGGTTTTGTCACTCCCACTCAAGCACAACCGTAGTCTCATAGCTTTAGAGAATTTCCAGTGTTTTTTGTGAGCAAGGGGTGTTGTTGTATGATGGACTTAGCTTCTGTTGTTTGAGCCTCACACAACACTGGTCCCAGCCACATCCCTTTAGGTGGCTGGGAAAATACTTACTATTTAGGACATCGGACTTTTCGGTAGCTTAGACTTGATGGTTTCTTTATATCACAGACTGAGGTAAGTTTGGACTCTTTTACATATACAATCCTAAAATTACTGAAGCACCTAGTATCTCTTGTATCAGGTATTTGCTAATAAACACAGTCTTTATATCACAGAATGAGTATCTCTTGTATCAGGTACTAAAAACATCAAGGGCTACACTGAGAATGTCGGCAACCATATCTCCTGTAGGAACATATCAGATTACTGCCTCTCTCTTTGGTACTAAGTCACCTTGGACAAAATAATATTTCTGTTGAATATGTTTTGTGTAAGCATAGAACTGCGGGTCTCAAGACCAATCTGCATCCAAATATCCATAGAAATCCATGTTTATCGAGACACCTGTACCATCATAACATAGTTTTATGTCCCTAGTTTCTTTCAGATATTGGAGAACATGTTTGGCAGCTTCCCAGTGATGGCTCCTTGGAGCTGAGCTGTGTCTGCTTAGCATTCCGACAATATAGACAATTTCTGGGCGGGCTCTGAGCATGGCATATATGAGGGCGCCCACAATTGGGAGGTATAATACTTGACACCCTTAAATATGCATTTTGTGTTGCATAATATCTTCCCCTGCAGCATTTGCAAGAAGTTTTGATCCATGGGCTAGTGGTGTCCATACTGGTTTGCAGTTTTTCATTCCAGTATGCTCCAAGACTGTGTCAATGTATTGGCATTGCAAGAAGGAGATTGTTTTGTTAGAATGATCACGTCAGATTTCTATTCCGAGGATGTATTTTGCTTTTCCAAGGTCCCACATTCTGAATATGGATTCAAGTTTGGCTTTTGTGATATTCATGAATTTTTGGGATGAAGCTCCCAGGAGAAGGTCATCTACATGGACAACAATAAAGCATATTTGTTTGTTGTCCTGGAATACATAAAAACATGTTTCTGCATTTAGTCTTGCCAAACCTAGCTCCTGGTGTTACAATACACAATTTTCAGACTTACATCCTTTCTTTCTCCATTTCAACTTTAGTTTTCACACACTTGTGCCATGCGGCACTTTCCTTGTGTTCAAACTCCACTTTCTTGTGCTGCGCTGCTTTCCTTTATTTCTTAGCTACAAGTCTCTCACGCAGTGGAACTGGTCACACAGGCTGCACCCTATGATATTATCAGCCACTGCCTTCATCAACTTGTATAGTATATGAGTACAAACACCCTGTATTAGTATATAAAACCCCAATAGATTTAGGAGGCTCCTCAGCAATTCCTCCTGTTGTAACAACCAAGAGTTTGTATACTTTGGCGCACAACTTAGACAAAATACAGTGACGTGAGTGGGAGTGGTTACCCCTTATGACAGGACCAACTTAGTTGTGGGTAAACAACAGGAGGACTTGTTGAGGAGTCTCCTTGATCTATTAGGGTTTATATACATTTACAGGCTATTTGTACATGTGTACTATACAGTTGATAAAGGCAGTGGCTGATGATGTCATAGGGCACAGCCCATGTGATCAGCTCCACTTGTGTGAGAGACTTGTAGCTAAGAATAAAAAAAAGCAGTGCAGCGCAAAAAAGTGGAGTTTGAATAAAATGGAAAGTGCCACATGGCACGGTGTGTGAAAACTACAAAAGAGGGTTTAAACTGGAGAATGAAATTAAAAGGTCCGAAAATTGTGTATTGTAACATCTATTGTATACCCACAACTAACTTGGTCCTATCATAAGGGGTTGATCCACTCCTCCTTCTTCCTCTTTGCTTGTTGCTGTGTGTGCACAGCCTCGCAACTGCACTGTAACAACCACGAGTTAGTTACTCTGGCGCACAACTAGAACACACTATAGAGATAATGATGAGGGACAGAGTATTCAAACTTTGGTTGTAACACCTGGAGCTTGCAATCAAAGGTTTTGTTCCACTTACAACCCACTTTTTTTAATCCATAGATGTATCTCTTCAACCTCCAGCAGTATCCAGGTTGGATAGGAACACCCCCTAGAGGAAGCATGTACAGTTCTTCTTCAAGTTCTCCATTGAGATAAGCTGTGGATACATCCATTTGATTAAGTTCTAGGTCATAATTTGCTGCCAGGGCTAGAATATTTTGGATCAACCCTAAGTTTGCAACCAGAGCAAAACCCTCCTGGTAATCAATCCCCTTCCTTTGAGTAAAACCCTGTGCAATAATCTGGAGTTTGTATCTCTCAATGTTTCTGTTTTGATCACACTTGATCCGGAACACAGGTTTTGATGTGATATGTTTTACTCCATTCAGAAGTGGAACAGTTGCATATATTGCATTAGTATTGAAACTTATGATTTCCTCCTCTAAGGCAGACTTCCATAATTTTCCATCTGGACATGATAAGGCTTCCTTTAGTGTCCTTGGAAGGTCTGTATTAGATGAATCAGTACTTGCTATTCCAGCAAAGAATGTCTCCTGTGTATCAGATGTTTCTTCAGGAACCTCAGGAGTGTTAAGTTTCTCCATGGAGTTGTGCTGCTCTGTTCTGCTCTGTTCCTCATCTAGAGTCCTTTGATAATCTTGGTCTTTGTCTGCAGGACGAGTCTGGTGACTGCTTCTGCATACTCCTAGGACATCAGCAGGTATGACTGCTGTTTGAGGAATTTGTGCAGAAACTCCAAGGAGGAGATGCACTTGTGTGTGAGCTGCCTCACTCACTCCTGAAGGTGTTGGATGTCTTCCCGGAGGCATTGGATAACTCCTCAGAGGTGTTGTATGTGTTCCAGAAGCTGATCCAATGGACAGGCTGGCTAGCTGTATTCGGACTTCCCCCATATCAGCTGGCTGTCTGTTGAGGAGCTGTCCTCCCACTGAGTGTGACTCTACTTTGGGTTTCTGTTCTGAAGATGGCCAGCGTTTGTGTCTTGGTTGTAGAGACTGTTGTGGAGAGTGTCTTAGCTGATCAGGTGCTCCCACTGCTCTCGGA